GTCTCAAACCCAGTTCCCCATCAATTCTGTTTTGTCTCGATACTCTGAATCCTGAATGCAATGCCCCACAAGTGGCGAACCACGTCGACAAGAAAAATGTAGCTGCACTTGGACGTTTTCGTGATCTGTTGCAACTGCTTTGGTGTGTCGGTGTTGCTGTTGCTGTACATCCATGCACAGTACTAGCGCGCCACGCCAACGTTGCATGATTCTGCGGTTGCTGTACCTCCACAAACCCGCTCGACACCAACAAGGCAACTTCCAAGAATGAGGTGTGTCTGGAATATTCCACATACCTCAGCCAGTGCAACAGGTCCCCGTCCAATGCCAGCCAGTCACAAGCTACTGCCGTTGCCAGCGCAACAGGTGCAGCGCAGCATTCCATCACAGCTGAACAGTGCACCCTGTCCTAGCTGTGAAGGGCGCGATGCGCGTCCTCCACATCGCCTCTCACACGCTGCAAGCCACCCACTTCCTTTCTTATCTCGCACGCTACCCTCGCACGACCCAACCCAGGTACACGGTGCGCGTCCGGGCAATCAACGCCGTCACACGCGGCAAGCCAACCACATCCTTTGGTACCCCCACATCATCCCCTTCCCTTATCTCTTCCACCCCCCCATTTCCTTTCCCCGTTGGCAGGGGTATGGTTACATGCTCGGTGATTGTGTCTTGTTTTAGAATTTCAAATTTCGAATTTCAAACTTCGACTCCCTACTCCTTACCATTTACATCCTCGCCAAATCTCTCGCGTCGCATGCCGAGCCTCCACTCGCTGCGACCGCTGTCGCAGGTTTGGTGGACTGTCCAATCATGGTGCATGCATCTTCAGTCGTTGTAGCACTCTCATTAGTGGCTCTTCCACCAAACCTTTTCTCCTTTTCTATTGTCACGTTTCCATAGCATATAAATATTGTATCCAGGCGTCTTGCTGGCTATACGTTTCGTTTCACTGTCTAATCCATAGTATTCATGGCGCCTGGCAAATCTAAAAACCTTGTCCCTGATTCTTTGAAAATGCACCAGACTCGAGCAACGCTTCCGCGGAAGAGTAAGGAACGGCACTTGTTCTTTCCGTCCCCCGCTGGAGGTAACTTTCCCTTTTTCTGTTACACTAGCCTTCGATATAGTTGTGTGTATAAGTATCTGTGCGTCTAATTTTCCATTTCTATTTTCTGTACGTTGCAGGAACCAACACTGAAAAAGAGACAGAGGAACCACCTGCTGGGCGTCACCCTACCGGGCAGCGTCAAAAGACTAATCATCGGAGCCTCGAAGATCTCAACGCTGCTGATGGCGCTGGAACGTCCGAGCCTTCGCCGACTACTGGTGTCGCTCCGTCCCAGCCAGCCAAGGCTTCGGGCCAGCCCGCCAAGGCTTCGGGCCAGCCCGCCAAGGCTCCGGGCCAGCCCGCCAAGGCTCCGGGCCAGCCTGTCAAGGCTCCTGCAGTCCCTGCCGACGGTGGTCATCCCCCTGCTGTTATCGAAACTATCGAGAATTGTGTCGCTGTCGTAGCGGACAAGGAACCCGCCGCTGAAAAAGGTGATTCACACTTGTGCTCACTCTTAGCCTTGCATTCCGTTGCCTGCAACCATGACTAATATTTCTGTTCCGTATTTGTTTTTGCCCACCAACAGAAAAGGCTGATGCCAGTCCGATGGAGTTAATCATGTCACGAGCGAAAGGTGGGGTGTACGCTACTAAGGCCGCAGCTTATGACGAGGAGGAGCGCGACGAACCGTTGGTGAACAACGAGCTGGTAGCCAAGGCGGGTACTCAAAAGGCGATCGCGGATACATATCGCAAGGAGAACGAGCGTAGGGCGGCGGAATTGAAGGACTGCCCCGTGCTTATCACGCACCTGTTAGAAACAATAGGAGTGGGGCCTAGGCTTAGTAGCCTAGGCCCACACTAGGAGGTAGTAGGTTGTGCCCTAGGACTAGGGTTTGTGGTATACGAAGGAGAATTGGAGAAGTGAGAATGGGAATGATGGTTGAACTAGCAAGCAGCAGGATACATATTGGAAACCCTAAGGGGTTGTACTCACTATTGAGCACCCCACTGCAGGCTAGACAAATAACATAATCTGACACACCCCCATAGCCAAAGTGGGGTGTAATCAGCACACGTGAGAAGTCACAGCAATAGTTCACAATTATCAGCAAAGCTAGTGGCAGTCACAGGAGGCCAGTGAGGAGGAGGAGGAACTGTGGAGGGAGAGAAGAGAGGAGGCGACGACTGAAGTTGCAGACACACGGGCACCAGGAGCACCAGGCTGCAACCTCCTCCAACTGTCTCACTCCCCCCTACACACACCCCCAGGGTCACCACTCGCTCCTCGCCCACATCACCCCCTTAGCACCACTCCCTCGTCTCCCACACATCCACCCCCCCGCAGCGGCAGCTGCAGCAGTGGGAGACGGAGGAGAAGGTAGGGGCGACGCACAAGGAGCACCCCCACACCCGCCACCCCCACACCCTCCTGTCCAGGGGACCCAAGGGGGGGGGGAGGGCCGGGGCGGGAGAGCGCACGAGGGCGCAGGCAACCGCGCGTGCCGAGCAACAGCGCGGAGCAGGTAGGGTAGAGCGCACGAGGGCGCGGGCAACCGCGCGTGCAGAGCAACAGCGCGGAGCAGGTAGGGTAGAGCGCACGAGGGCGCGGGCAACCGCGCGTGCAGAGCAACAGCGCGGAGCAGGTAGGGTAGAGCGCACGAGGGCGCGGGCAACCGCGCGTGCAGAGCAACAGCGCGGAGCAGGTAGGGTAGAGCGCACGAGGGCGCGGGCAACCGCGCGTGCAGAGCAACAGCGCGGAGCAGGTAGGGTAGAGCGCACGAGGGCGCGGGCAACCGCGCGTGCAGAGCAACAGCGCGGAGCAGGTAGGGTAGAGCGCACGAGGGCGCGGGCAACCGCGCGTGCAGAGCAACAGCGCGGAGCAGGTAGGGTAGGGCGCACAAGGGCGCGGGTGAGACTGAGCGCGACTGCACAGGGTCCAGGAGCGGCGTCGCGGGCAGCTGCTGCAGAGGTCCAGAGGCGGCTGCTCCAGGGGCCAGGGGCGGCTGCTGCAGTGGCGGGTGGCTCCAGGGGCGGCTGCTGCAGTGGCGGGCGACTCCAGGGGCGGCTGCTGCAGGGGCGGCTGCTCCAGGGGCGGCTGCTGCTGTGGCGGGCGACTCCAGGGGCGGCTGCTGCAGTGGCGGGCGGCTCCAGGGGCGGCTGCTGCAGTGGCGGGCGACTCCAGGGGCGGCTGCTGCAGTGGCGGGCGGCTCCAGGGGCGGCTGCTGCAGGGGCGGCTGCTCCAGGGGCGGCTGCTGCTGTGGCGGGCGACTCCAGGGGCGGCTGCTGCAGTGGCGGGCGACTCCAGGGGCGGCTGCTGCAGTGGCGGGCGGCTCCAGGGGCGGCTGCTGCAGGGGCGGCTGCTGCAGTGGCGGGCGACTCCAGGGGCGGCTGCTGCAGTGGCGGGCGGCTCGAGGCGCGGGCTGGCCTGGCGCAGTCCGAACGGGTCGCGCGCGGGCCTGGCGCAGCCCGTACGGGCCGCGCGCGGGCCTGGCGCAGCCCGTACGGGCCGCGCGCGGGCCTGGCGCAGCCCGTACGGGCCGCGCGCGGGCCCGACGTAGGTCGCGGGGGCCACGACGGGCGACGGGGGGCGACGCGCGGGTCCCCGTCGCCCGTCGCAGCGCCTCCCGGGGGCGACGAAACGGGGGCCGCGGGCGACGGGAACGGGGGGCCGCGGGCGACGGGAACGGGGGGCCGCGGGCGACGGGAACGGGGGGCCGCGGGCGACGGGAACGGGGGGCCGCGGGCGACGGGAACGGGGGGCCGCGGGCGACGGGAACGGGGGGCCGCGGGCGACGGGAACGGGGGGGCCGCGGGCGACGGAAACGGGGGTCTGCGGGCGACGGGAACGACGCGGGGCGACGCGGGGGCGACGGGGCAGAAAGCCGCCGCGCGCCTCGGGGCGCACGGCGGGCAGAAAACCGCCGCACGCTTCGAGGGCGCGGCGGGATGAAAAATTAGGGTTTCGCCGCCGCGCACCACGGGGCGCGCGGCGGACACTACGGCAGCGGAAGCAGGTGGTGGGCCCATAGAGGTAAGCGGCAGGAACGTGCTCGCTCTGATACCATGTTAGAAACAATAGGAGTGGGGCCTAGGCTTAGTAGCCTAGGCCCACACTAGGAGGTAGTAGGTTGTGCCCTAGGACTAGGGTTTGTGGTATACGAAGGAGAATTGGAGAAGTGAGAATGGGAATGATGGTTGAACTAGCAAGCAGCAGGATACATATTGGAAACCCTAAGGGGTTGTACTCACTATTGAGCACCCCACTGCAGGCTAGACAAATAACATAATCTGACAGCACCTTGCCAAGAAGGCCTCGGAAGTTGACGCGGGTGCTCTCACCTGGGATGCAAGCTGAGTTTATTTTATTTTGCATTCCATTTCCTCTAGGCACGTCGGATTACTAATCTCTAAGTGTTGCTCGCAGGTGTACACCAAGAAGTCTTGCGATGAGTTTCTGTACACCCGAGAGATGCTCAATCTTAGCCCCGATTCTGATGACATGCTGAAGTCGCTCATAAGTAAGGGTTTCCTGTTGTTTTCCCTGTTGTCCCTGTCAGTTTGTGGAAGCTGACTAGTGTTTTTTTGTATGCAGGGCATTCGGGCCACACGCCAGACTCACCCGAAGGCTTGAAAGTGGCTGCGATTGCGACGTCGCAAGGCAAGCTGAGGCATGCCTGTGTGCGTTTCAATGATCGCATCGGTAAGATCTACCACCGTACCCGCGTCCACGCGTTGACTAACGAGCCCTGTATCTTTATGGGTGAGAAGCGTAGCCTGAAGGGCCTGATTATTTACTACGAGCCCAAGGGTTTCCCCAGCAAGTGCGAAGCCTATGTCATCAGGAACGATTCCAGTAAGTAGGTTTCTTTTCCGCTTTCTGTAGCATCCGTGAACCAGTATCTGACATTTTCGCTGTCACCCTGCAGAGTTTTTCGGCTTACCCTGGCATGTCCTTAACGGAGTCCCGTTTTCCACCGACGGTTTTGTTCTATGTGCTGCTCTGTGGGACTCTGAGTGGGACGGGTCTCTCCCGATTGCCTTGTTTCCTGAGCAGCTTCTTGTGCTGCTGGTAGTGGTGAGTTCTATAGTTTTACCGTTGGTGTTTTATCATAATGTAATGCTTACACTTTTTGTGGTTACTGTGTCAGGTGCGTTCCAAATTGCGCAATCCCTGCTGCAAGGCCCAGTTCACGCGTTCCGGGGATCCCGGTGCTCTTGCCAGGCAGGCACGGGTGGTGCAGCGTTGGATCAACGCCACCGAAGTTAAGCGCGATGGAGAGTGCATTGGCATCGGGAAGCTGTGCATCGTCGGTTGGACCGACATTTCTGAAGAGGAGCTAGCGGGGGATGAGCTTGGGGATCTGTCCCCTGATGATCTTGTCCCGACCAGCGCTCATCGCAGGGTTCATGATCCGAACCAGGTGCAGGTAGAACTGCTCTAGGGTTTAGGTAGTGTAGGTGTAGTTACTGTTGCTAGGTATAGTTGTAGGTGTAGTTACTGTATTGGTACGTGTTCTATGTATGCAGTCTATTTAGTAAATGTGTAATTTTTGGCAACGTTTCTAATGTTACTATTAAGTACTGTAATTCCGGTGTAGTCGCTTTTGTTTAAACAATTATATATTTAGCATTAGATTAGGCCCCACTGATAACTGCACAAATGCCACCGTTACATGCACAATTGCCGCCTCAAAGATAACAATTGAATTTCATCCGAGAAACCAATATTGTGTCTTCCGCGTTATCGTTTCAATTGACTTGCATCACTTTCGCTAGTAGCACAAATTCGAACGTGACGTGGCACAAATAACGACCTTCGTTAAACATCCAGATCGCAACTAACGAAGCAGTGTTTATCGAGTCGATTTTGCTGACGCGACAACCAATCGGAAAAAATTTTCCGCCCACTGCCGATCAAACAGTTGTCTGCATTCAGTTCGCCGAAATTATCCAAGCCAAATCTTCAGGTTTGGCAGCCAGCTGCTCGACCACTCGAAACCTTCTCGCGAGCAACAAGCTACTATACACGCAAACCAATCGCTTCATCGGGGAAAACGCCTGCAGCCGAAAACCAATCGCTCTGCCGGTTGACGCTCTATGTGTGAGTCGACGCTCTATCTCTGCCGGTTGACGCTCTATGTGTGAGTCGACGCTCTATCTCTGCCGGTTGACGCTCTATGTGTGAGTCGACGCTCTATCTCTGCCGGTTGACGCTCTATGTGTGAGTCGACGCTCTATCTCTGCCGGTTGACGCTCTATGTGTGAGTCGACGCTCTATCTCTGCCGGTTGACGCTCTATGTGTGAGTCGACGCTCTATCTCTGCCGGTTGACGCTCTATGTGTGAGTCGACGCTCTATCTCTGCCGGTTGACGCTCTATGTGTGAGTCGACGCTCTATCTCTGCCGGTTGACGCTCTATGTGTGAGTCGACGCTCTATCTCTGCCGGTTGACGCTCTATGTGTGAGTCGACGCTCTATCTCTGCCGGTTGACGCTCTATGTGTGAGTCGACGCTCTATCTCTGCCGGTTGACGCTCTATGTGTGAGTCGACGCTCTATCTCTGCCGGTTGACGCTCTATGTGTGAGTCGACGCTCTATCTCTGCCGGTTGACGCTCTATGTGTGAGTCGACGCTCTATCTCTGCCGGTTGACGCTCTATGTGTGAGTCGACGCTCTATCTCTGCCGGTTGACGCTCTATGTGTGAGTCGACGCTCTATCTCTGCCGGTTGACGCTCTATGTGTGAGTCGACGCTCTATCTCTGCCGGAGCGTCAACCGGTCAGGCTCAGCACCCCCAGCAGGACGAGAGTCAACAGCTACCTCAGCAGGCTCAACCGGGTCTACCTGGGACACACCTGAGGGAGCGGCACCCTGAGGGGGGAGGGGGTCTGGGACCTCAGCACCTGGAGCGAGGAAGAGAGGCGGGGGGGGGAGCGGGGCAGTGCGGTAGGGGAAGAGGCGGTAGTAGGGGACGGACTCGTCAAAAGTGACGTCCTGAGAGGCAAGGACCCGACGCGAGGTGGCGTGGTAGAACTGCCAACCAGGCGCGTCCGGGACAAAGCCAAGGAAGACACAGGGGACAGCTCGACGGGAGAGCTTGTCCGCGGACGTGTCGCGAACAAAAGCTCGGGATCCCCAGACCCGAAAACGCGACGCATCGCCAGCCTCTCCCGTCCAACGCAGTGTCGGAGAAGTCTCCGGTAAGGAGACACGGGGCCAGAGGTTGAGCTGATGTGCAGCGTATCGGACTGCAAACGGCCACAGAAAGTGGGGGGCAGCCGCATGAACCAAGGAGGTACGAGCGACCTCCATGACCAAGCCAATGCGGCGCTCAGCAACCCCATTCTGCTGTGGAGAGGCCGGAAGCGTGAACGATTGCTCAATGCCCTCCTGCTGACAGAAGGCCTCCAAGAGGCCAGAGGAAAACTCTCCACCTCTGTCAGAGTGCAGACGCAGGACAGGGAAGTCGGAGCGGAAACGCTCACTGAGCTGGAGACGAGATCTGCGGATCCAAGGGATCAAGACATCAGGGACGTCACCCTTGGTGCGCAAGGGGAAGACCGTGGTGTAGCGCGAGAAGTCGTCAACAACAATCAGGAAGTACCTCTCCTGACCCTGACCACGGACGCGGGCTGGGCCCCACACGTCCATGTGGAGCGTCTGCAAAGGAGCAGTCGTCGGGGGGAAGGAGGAGGAGTGAGGAGCGGCGCGCTGCCGCCCCTCGACACAGGGAAGACAGGGAGGAGCAGGCGAGGGTGGGAGGGGAGGGAGAACCCTGGGAAGACCAGCAACAAGGTCCCGTTTGTGCATGGCCCGAAGGCGCTGCACAGACGGGTGACCAAGGCGGTGGTGCCAGAGGACAGTCTCATGCGCCAGAGAGCGACACGAGCAGGGGGCGGACAGCTGACCTGACGCAGACGCAGACGCGGACGCAGCTACCTGAGGGGACTCAGTGGTCAGTGTGTACAGGTCCGACCCCGGCTGCCGAGTGAAGGTAGCCAGGTGACGGCCCGTCCGAGCACACGTGCAGTGTGTCACGCGCTCGTAAGCAGGGGTGAACTGGTGGACACCCCCGTCCTGGAGCGCACTACCTGCCACCAAGTTCGTAGAGAACGAGGGGAGGTAAAGACCTGACAGCGTGCCTGACGGGACCGCAGGACAAGGAAGGACAGTGGAGGAGGTCGCAACGACCGGACCCCCAGAGGGGTCAGCGAGGGAGACAGCAACTGGCCGAGCGAGTGGCTCAAGGACAGTGCGGTCACGAAAGAAACAGCGAGAAGCACCTGAGTCCAGTGTGAAGGTGTGCAGTGCTGCAGTCGACTCAGTACCAGCGGGCACGGACGCACTAGCACCTAGAGCAGCAGCCTCACCAGGACCTGGGGCAGCAGACGCACTAGCACCTAGAGCGGCAGCCGGACTAGTCTGAATGCCCGGGTCGGGCGGAACACGCAAGTACTGAGCACCCTCTCCACTAGTAAACATCGCATACATGGCAGTGAGAATAGCATCAAAGTCTAAAGCCCAGATATCAACACCCTTCTTTTCCAGATCAGCCCAGTGAGGCAGGTCAGTGGCATCAGGAAACTGGGCACGCCACGCGTCAGTAAGGCGTGCGAAACAGCGCTGTGTGGGATGCGGCCTCCCACACTGCTGGCCAGTGCGGTCACCAGTGCGAATGACGTAAGTGCACGTAAAGCCACGCTGCGCATACCACTCACGAGCGGCCTGAAGCGACGGGGCGGGCTGCTGACTCTGGCCACCGCCAGCGCCTCCACGACCACCACTGCCGCCGCCACCGCCTCGGCCACCTCCACCCCTGCCGCTGCCACGACCACCTCCGCCTCCACTGCCGCCTCCACCCCTGCCGCCACTCCCGCCGCTGCTGTCACCACCCCCACTGCCGCCAGTAGGCTCCCCAGCCGCTCCTCCACTCCCACCGCCTCCACCCCCACCTCCTCCGCCGCCACCTCCAACCTTGCCCCCTTTGCCCCTGCGGCGCCCGCTCGGAGCAGACGCGGCCCCGACCTTCTCAGCACCAAGGAGGTCGACAGCAGCAGCAGAGGAGACAGAAGGGAGGAGAGGGGAAGGGGAACACCCCTCAAAGAACGGGGTGCGGGGGTCGCCACGAGAGGTGCCTACAGCGACGATGCTCGTCTCAGCTGCAAGCAGTTCCTTCTCGAGGAGGGCAATGGTGAGCTCAGTGGGAGAGCGAGCGAGGAAGTGATCCCTGACTGCGCGCAGAGAGTCAGGGAGGCGGGTGACAATGTGGTAGAGCGTGATCCAGAGCGGGGGGGGGTTGCTGGCAAGGAACTCGTCAGGCATAGCAGCGCGAAAGCGGGCCTCACTGGTCCTGAGGTGGGTGATGAGGTCAGCGACTGTGCTGAAGGAGGCCAGGTCGGGGAACAGGTAGGGGAGGGTGAGGCGGCCTAGTGCGGCAGAGGCAGGTGAGGAGTAACGAGCAACTACAGCAGTGTACAAGTCCTTAGCAGTCTTGTGCTGGCCAAAGTGCTCGCGCTCATCTAGTGGCAGGGAGTTGCGAATAGCAAAGCGAGCGTGGGCGTCACGAGTCTGCCACTGTGAGCGCTGAGTGCTGTCTGCAGTGGTAGGAGGGGCAGTAGCGTGACCGAGGGCATGATCGTACAGCGAAATATCCTCCTTGGCAGTGAGCTGGAGGAAGAGGTGCAGGTCATCTAGCCAGGTGTCAAACTTCACTGGGCGGCCCTCGGCATCGAAAGCAAGTACGGGAGGACTAGCCATAGTGGCAGCAGTAGTAGCAGTAGCAGCAGTAGCAGTAGCAGCAGGAGCAGTAGTATCGACGGGGCTGCTCAGTACGGGCGGCGCGGCTCGGTCGGGTAGGGCGGCGCGGCTCGGGTCGGGCTGCGCGGCTGCGCAGAGCCTCTAAGCGGGGCGGTACGGGGCCGCGGGGGGCCTCTAAGCGGGGCTCGACGGGGCCGCGGGGCCGCTAAGCGGGGCGCAACGGGGTCGCGGGGCCGTGAGGTGGGGCGCGACGGGGCCGCGGGGCCTCTAAGCGGGACGCGACGGGGCCGCGGGGCCTCTAGGCGGGACGCGACGGGGCCGTGGGGCCGCTAGGTGGGGTTCGACGGGGCCGCGGGGCCGCTAAACGGGGTGCGCGCGGGGTCGACGGGGCCGTAAGCGGGGCGCGTGCGGGACCGACGGGGCCGTAAGCGGGGCGCGCGCGGGTCGACGGGGCCAGCGGGGCCTCTAAGGGGGGACGCGCGCGGGTCGACGGGGCCAAACGGGGCCGAAATCGGGGCGCGCGCGGGTTCGACGGGGCCACTAAGGGGCGGCGCGCGAATCGCTAAGGGGCGGCGCGCGGGGTCGACGGGGCCTTAGGGGGGGCCGTAAACGAGGGCGCACGAGGGCGCTGAGGGGGAGGCGCTAACGCAGCACTCCGACAGTAGATAGGTAGGTAGGTATTCAGTGGTGGGCCCTAAGAACGGTCCTAGCGAAGGACCTGCTCTGAAACCATGTCAGAAAGAAGAGACTGGAATGATTGAACTATGAGTGAAAGCAGTACAAGTACCAAACCCTAGAATTGTGTACCCCCTATAGGCTAACCCACTGTAGCCTAAACAAACACAACATATATAATGTTTGACACACGCGTTCCGGGGATCCCGGTGCTCTTGCCAGGCAGGCACGGGTGGTGCAGCGTTGGATCAACGCCACCGAAGTTAAGCGCGATGGAGAGTGCATTGGCATCGGGAAGCTGTGCATCGTCGGTTGGACCGACATTTCTGAAGAGGAGCTAGCGGGGGATGAGCTTGGGGATCTGTCCCCTGATGATCTTGTCCCGACCAGCGCTCATCGCAGGGTTCATGATCCGAACCAGGTGCAGGTAGAACTGCTCTAGGGTTTAGGTAGTGTAGGTGTAGTTACTGTTGCTAGGTATAGTTGTAGGTGTAGTTACTGTATTGGTACGTGTTCTATGTATGCAGTCTATTTAGTAAATGTGTAATTTTTGGCAACGTTTCTAATGTTACTATTAAGTACTGTAATTCCGGTGTAGTCGCTTTTGTTTAAACAATTATATATTTAGCATTAGATTAGGCCCCACTGATAACTGCACAAATGCCACCGTTACATGCACAATTGCCGCCTCAAAGATAACAATTGAATTTCATCCGAGAAACCAATATTGTGTCTTCCGCGTTATCGTTTCAATTGACTTGCATCACTTTCGCTAGTAGCACAAATTCGAACGTGACGTGGCACAAATAACGACCTCCGTTAAACATCCAGATCGCAACTAACGAAGCAGTGTTTATCGAGTCGATTTTGCTGACGCGACAACCAATCGGAAAAAATTTTCCGCCCACTGCCGATCAAACAGTTGTCTGCATTCAGTTCGCCGAAATTATCCAAGCCAAATCTTCAGGTTTGGCAGCCAGCTGCTCGACCACTCGAAACCTTCTCGCGAGCAACAAGCTACTATACACGCAAACCAATCGCTTCATCGGGGAAAACGCCTGCAGCCGAAAACCAATCGCTCTGCCGGTTGACACTCGATGTGTGAGTCGACGCTCTATCTCTGCCGGTTGACGCTCTATGTGTGAGTCGACGCTCTATCTCTGCCGGTTGACGCTCTATGTGTGAGTCGACGCTCTATCTCTGCCGGTTGACGCTCTATGTGTGAGTCGACGCTCTATCTCTGCCGGTTGACGCTCTATGTGTGAGTCGACGCTCTATCTCTGCCGGTTGACGCTCTATGTGTGAGTCGACGCTCTATCTCTGCCGGTTGACGCTCTATGTGTGAGTCGACGCTCTATCTCTGCCGGTTGACGCTCTATGTGTGAGTCGACGCTCTATCTCTGCCGGTTGACGCTCTATGTGTGAGTCGACGCTCTATCTCTGCCGGTTGACGCTCTATGTGTGAGTCGACGCTCTATCTCTGCCGGTTGACGCTCTATGTGTGAGTCGACGCTCTATCTCTGCCGGTTGACGCTCTATGTGTGAGTCGACGCTCTATCTCTGCCGGTTGACGCTCTATGTGTGAGTCGACGCTCTATCTCTGCCGGTTGACGCTCTATGTGTGAGTCGACGCTCTATCTCTGCCGGTTGACGCTCTATGTGTGAGTCGACGCTCTATCTCTGCCGGTTGACGCTCTATCTGTGAGTCGACGCTCTCTCTCCGCCGGTTGACGCTCTATGTGTGAGTCGACGCTCTATCTCTGCCGGTTGACGCTCTATGTGTGAGTCGACGCTCTATCTCTGCCGGTTGACGCTCTATGTGTGAGTCGACGCTCTATCTCTGCCGGTTGACGTTCTATCTGTGAGTCGACGCTCTATCTCTGCCGGTTGACGCTCTATGTGTGAGTCGACGCTCTATCTCTGCCGGTTGACGCTCTATGTGTGAGTCGACGCTCTATCTCTGCCGGTTGACGCTCTATGTGTGAGTCGACGCTCTATCTCTGCCGGTTGACGCTCTATGTGTGAGTCGACGCTCTATCTCTGCCGGTTGACGCTCTATGTGTGAGTCGCCGCTCTGTCTCTGCCGGTTGACGCTCTATGTGTGAGTCGACGCTCTATCTCTGCCGGTTGACGCTCTATGTGTGAGTCGTCGACTCACACATAGAGCGTCAACCGGCAGAGATAGAGCGTCGACTCACACATAGAGCGTCAACCGGCAGAGGTAGAGCGGTTTCGAACTTGGAAACCACACCCGCTCTTTTCCCGATGGTGGCCGTCGCTGCGCTGCTCTCGCTCATGGCGAATGGCGGATGGTATCTGATAGTATGCGACCGTACGCAACAGTATGCGATAGTATGCGCCAACTACCTTGTCGTGAACTATGCTCGAAGCACTACGACGTGGCGAAAAAACACAAGGAATCTGTGAATCTCCGCTTCACTATACCTTCCTGATCCGTAGATAGCAACACGAGCAGATGAGCTATGCAATTCAACAAATGGGCTGTGCTGCGGATTTTCCTACGGCGCTGCTGCGCGCCACAGCGGAGATCTGACTCGCTGTGGCGCGCAGCAGCGGAGATCTGGATGTGGCGCATCCCGCCAACGGATCCCCCTCTCTCGCCTGCATTCGCGACGTTCGCACACTGGACAGCTAAGGAAAACCTCGAAGCCCATTGGCGAACGAGCTGCTTCGAGAACATCGCGAGATTGGCGATCGAACCGAATGTCTCTGCAAGCCAACAGGGAAACGCCAAGCGAATGGAGGAGGAACTGCAATACTCAAACCGTGTTATGATGATATGTGAGAGTTGTAGAACGTAAAGCACCTCACAGAACCGTAATCTAAGGGACTTTCTCCCTCCAAGCTCGGTCAACCACCACTCCTTTCCCCTCCCATTCCTTTTAGAAGATCAGTCAGTTCAAATTTGCCGCCAAATTACACAGCACAGGCGCGTTCGTATCCGTTCGACACGTCAGCTCAACTCAGCTGTCCGTTTCTCGATCATTCTCGCCGCTCACCCGTACCGCGTGACTGCCGCACCCGCAGCGAGGCAATCGCCATCGCCGTTTCAGGTCTACGGCACAATCGTTCTTTGAGGCGCCTAAAAAATCGTCTCAATTGCCTCGTTCTCCTTGTTTGCCTCGAGAGCGAGAGCGAGCTTAGCGATTGAGCGACGCTGGAGTTCGCAACGCCGGTAGTTTGGGCGACGCTGGAGTGTGCGAAAGAATGAGCGACCCTAAACTGAGTACGAGTGAGGCAAATGCGGCTTCGATTCAAGCGACGGAGCCGCTCGGCGCGCAGCAGGCGGTGATGATTTTCGTGAAGCGGCCAGCGCCGGGGCGAGTGAAGACGCGCCTGGCGGCCGGCGTGGGGGCGGACGCGGCGTGCGCCTTCTACCGCGCGTGCTGCGAGCACGTCGTCACCCGGGTCGTGCTCTGCCCCGACCTGTACGTGACTATAACGAGGTGACAAGTCGACTCAAAAGTCATCTTCTATCACGCGTGCTGCGAGCAGGTCGTCGCCAGGGTCGTGCTCTGCTCCGACCTGTGCGTGACTAAAGCGAGGTGACTGTTTAGTCAAATCAGAATTCGCCTTTTACCGCACGTGCTGCGAACACGTCGACGCCAATATCGAGCGCTACCCCGAGCTGTACGTGAATATAGCGAGGCGCAGGGCTTCTGGCGAGTACGGGGCTGCTATAGCGCTACCTCCAGCTGAGTCTACATACATCTGAGCCATCTGATAGAATTCACAAGAGTGAGTCAGATACATTTTCAGGTCGCGGCGAGTGCATGTATAGGATGAGGCTCCCGCATATTCATGGCTTATGGCATGCTCAGTGCAGTCATTGCTGTGCCATAGATGGCTGTGACCTTCAATCTGATCAGCCGTGGCTGTGGTGTGGCAGGCAGGCACGCATCCACGCATGTCTTCATCTTCTTCTCTGAGCCGTCGGATGAAGGCGAGATCCAACGGTGGATGCAGCAGCTGCTGCCATCCTCCACCTCCCTCCGCTTGTTGCCTCAGGTGAAATCTCTACCTGACCTCAGCTCTGCAATTTCCCCACATTCTCACACCCCATGCTCCCACGCTCACACCCCATGCTCCCACGCTCACACCCCATGCTCCCACGCTCACACCTCATGCTTATCTCCCATCAATCCTACATGCATTGCGTGCCGATGAGATTTCCCAGCAGTCGATTCCATTCACATGCCATAAACCATGCCATGCGTGCATCAATCGCTCCCGTGCCACCACCCATGCAGTTGGGGACAGACATAGGCATACGCTCGCAAGCAGCCTACATCCAAAACCCTAAACCGCCAGAACCCTTACCCAAATTCTGAATCCATGCAGGTGGGAGGGGACGTGGGGGCGCGCATGCAAGCAGCGTTCCAGCATGTTCTAGGCCTGGGATACCAACGGGTGAGCATTGGAACTTAATTAGACCAGGTTAACGTAATTAAGGTGGGCTTTGGGAATTATGCGCGTGAATGCCTCAGGTTTAGCTTTGTGATGCACATCAGGCTGCTCTGCTTGCACCCTTGTAATAAATTCTCCCCATTGCATGCCGCTCGTCTCTCTGCCTCCCACACTCATCCGTGACAGGTGGTGGTGATCGGAACAGACATCCCTGATGTGGATGGGGTCACTGTTGCTGCTGCGCTCTCTGCTCTTAAGCGCCACAAGGTGAGGAGGAGACGGGAGGGAAGGGGCAGCGCCAGAGGGGGAGAGACAGCGTGGGACCATTGCTTGTGGGAATTATAGGCTTGCAGAGGTAAGGTGGTGATTGGATCAGATCAGACGTCCCTGATGCAGCGGGGGTGGTGCCACTGTTGCTGCTGCCCTTTCAGCTCTCAGACACCACAAGGTGAGTGGAAGAGAGAGGGGTGGGAATCATTTAGGGCCGGAGAGAGGGGTGTGGTGCAGAGGGAGGGTTTTTCTCGAGGGGAGAAAAGACAAGAAGGCTTTTGTTTTATGGTCAGGATCGCTTTCAGCTCAGATTCTGAAATAGGAAAAGAAATTTCTTGGTTCATTGCACTCAGATAATCTATCGCACCCTCTTTGCATTCTCTATCAGGTGGTGTTTGGCCCAGCCCTGGATGGTGGATACTACCTCCTTGGACTCACCGCACTGCTGCCATGCCTCTTCAATGTAAGTGGTGCATGGCACCATGTATGTGGGGCATGGCACCATGTATGTGGGGCATGGCACCATGTATGTGGGGCATGTCGCCATGTGTGTGGGGCATGTCACCATGTGTGTGGGGCATGTCGCCATGTGTGTGGGGCATGGCACCATGTGTGTGGGGCATGTCACCATGTGTGTGGGGCATGTCACCATGTGTGTGGGGCATGGCACCATGTGTGTGGGGCATGGCACCATGTGTGTGGGGCATGTCACCATGTGTGTGGGGCATGTCGCCATGTGTGTGGGGCATGGCACCATGTGTGTGGGGCATGTCACCATGTGTGTGTTGCATGTCACCATGTGTGTGGGGCATGTCACCATGCATGTGGTGCATGTCACCACGTGTGTGAGGCATTTTAGCATGTGTGTGGGGCATGGCACCATGCATGTGGTGCATGTCACCACGTGTGTGAGGCATTTTAGCATGTGTGTGGGGCATGTCACCTCCTTGTTCTTCACCCTCCTTCCCCACTCTTCGTCGTGCCATCCTCCTGAGGCCTGACACCATCAGCACGCTGATGCCCATTCATCTATACAGAGGAGCGCATGGAGGCTGCTTTTGTTTTAGGTACTGCAAAAAGTCGCCTCAAAAAGCACGTAGAGGACAGGAACGTAAAGGCGCCTTCCTGTCTTTTCACCCATCGACACAGTTCACGACCTCCCATCCTGGCTCTTCCCCTCTCTCCCGTCTCCCCTGTCTTTCATTTCATCCCCCGAATTCCATCAGGGCAGACAATGGAGCACAGACAGGGTGCTGCAGCAGTACCTCTCTGGCCTGCCTGCAACCTCCCCTTCTCTCCCTTCCCTGGGTCCCATCAGGGCATAGAGTGGAGCACAGACAGGGTGCTGTAGCAGTACCTCTCTGCACTCCACACCAACAGAATGGCTGTTTGCCGCTCCTAGGGAACATGAATACAGTTCACAACCACACACTCTGGCTCTTCCCTTGTGTACGACCCACCTCTCTCCTGTCCCTCCTCTCTCCCTTCCCTGGGTCCCATCAGGGCATAGAGTGGAGCACGGTCCGGGTTTTGCAGCAGTCGCTCTCTGCGCTACACACCAACGGGGTGGCTGACGTGGTATTGCTGACCTGCCTGCCTTCCTCCCTGCTCCCATCCCCTCTCTCCCCCATGACCCAACCCCATCAGGGCATAGAGTGGAGCACGGACCGGGTGCTGCAGCAGTCGCTCTCTGCACTCCACACCAACAGGACGGCTGCCTGCCATGCAAAAGGAAAATCAACACAGTTTACAACCTCGCATCCCTGGGTCTTCCCCTCTCTACCATCCCCCCTGTCTCTCATTTCATCCCCCGGCCCCATCAGGGCATAGAGTGGAGCACGGACAGGGTGCTGCAGCACTCTCTCTGTGCGGCAGTCACTCGCAGCACTCCACACCAACAGGACGGCTGCCTGCTGCATAGGGGAACATCCTCACAGTTCACAGCCTCACAACCTGTCTCTTCCCCCTGTCTACGATCCCCTTCTCTCCCTTCCCCTCTCTCTCACACCACCATACCCCATCAGGGCATAGAGTGGAGCACGGACAGGGTGTTGCAGCAGTCACTCTCAGCTCTCCACACAAACGGGGTGGCTGACGTGGCGCCACTGGATTCGCTGCCGCGCCTAAGGGACATTGACACTCTTCACGACCTGACAGCCTGGCTTGCAGAGCAACAAGCGGCGGGCGGCGGGGGGGGGTGGTACCTTGGAGGCAGATGCTGAGACAGATATGGCAATGACTAGTTGTGGCAAGGCAAGACATGGGAAGGACGGTTCAAGAGCAGAGCAAGCTTCTGAGCAGGCCGATAAGGAAGATGCTGCTCCGAGTGGTGGTGGGAAGACAGGGCATGAGGAGGATGCATTGAGAACAGACCATGTTCGTGTGCACCCAACATCACATGCTGGTGTGCACCCAACATCACATGCTCCTTGTGGTGAGCCTGAAGCTGAGGTTTGCAGTATAGAAGGCGAAACACAAGTTGTGAGGCTGATTGCTGTTGTTGCGGGGATTCTAGGCCAGGTTAGCCCGGTAGGTGCTACTGGTATGTGATGTTGTTTGTATGATGGCCCTGGTTGTCTGATTGATAAAATATATCATTCTCGTGCAATAATCGCACAAATACAGGAAGACATTGTCGATTTTTTTACATGTATGTGTGTCGACTGGGGGATAATCTGTGCTAAAATAAAGGTAGCAATATACTTACTGTGTGTAGTAATATACTTAGCTGGAAATTCAGACAGCGCATTGTGTTTTTGTCAATGTGTACACTATCTTGTAATTTCTACCTTCGCGGTCGGACCGGTCCATTTCACTACACCAGCCTGTTACTGCTCCATCGAACACCAGCCTGTTGGTCTCTAGTGTCGATCATCCAACATACCCAATTAACCGAACCTGCTTGTTATAGTTCCGAACCAACCATGGTGCTTTGCTGCAAGTTTGGAAGAGCTTCGGGCGTCGTTCGGCATGCAGGTTAGAAATACAGCTCAGATCCGGAAAGGCTATGCCAGTGTTGCAGAGCAGCCCGGCTTTGAATATCGGCTTGGAACTTTCCTCCCGCACTGAATGCACCTTGCACCGTTGGGTTGGGATCCAGCTTTCAAGTTTCGTGCTAACGGCTTTCACCTACTGCTTTTTTGTCAAATATTATAGCCTGTAGTGGGTTGGGCTATATGGGGTACAACTAGTTAGGGTTAGGTTATGTACCCCAATTCTGTCAATGCAACACATTCCGCTGTAGTTCTCATTCTGACATGGTATCAGCAGTAGGTTAGCGCTCCTAGCCCTAGGCCCGCCCGTCCCTACCACTAGGGTTACCACTGCGCCCCGCCAGCCCGCCAGCGCCCTACCCCACGCCCCAGCCGGCGCGCCCCTCCCCTCCCCGCCCTTAGCCAGCGCGCACGCCAGCCAGCCAGCGCGCCAGCCAGCCAGCGCGCCAGCCAGCCAGCGCGCCAGCCAGCCAGCGCGCCAGCCAGCCAGCGCGCCAGCCAGCCAGCGCGCCAGCCAGCCAGCGCGCCAGCCAGCCAGCGCGCCAGCCAGCCAGCGCGCCAGCCAGCCAGCGCGCCTGCCAGCCAGCGCGCTAGCCCACCAGCCAGCCAGCGCGCCAGCGCGCCAGCCAGCCCGCGCGCCAGCCCGCTTGCACGCCAGCCCGCCAGCGCGCCCGCCAGCGGGCGCACCAGCGAGCCCGCCAGCTCGCCTGCCAGCGCGCCCGCCAGCGAGCCCGCCAGCGCGCCCGCCAGCACGCACGCCAGCGCGCCCGCCAGCGCGCTGCGCCAGCGCGCCCCGCCAGCGCGCACGCCAGCGCGCCGCGCCCGCCAGCGCGCGCCCTGCCTAGCCGCCCGCCAGCGCGCCGCGCCCGCGCGCCACGCCAGCCAGCGCGCCGCGCCGGAGTGCGCCCCGCCAGCGCGCGCCCCGCCGCCCCGCGCCCAGCCAGAACGCGCCCCGCCTGCGCGCACCCGCCTCGCACTCACCTCCCTCTCCTCCTCCTCTCGCGGCTGGCGGCCGCTATCGCTTGTTCTCGCCCCTCATGGCGACGTCTCGCGTGCTCCGTTTCGACCCTGAGGGGCGCGCGATCGACTTTAGTACCTGGCTGACGCAGGCCCAGCGCCACCTTAGGAGCCAGCGCCAGGATGGCGTGCACCTGTTTGCGCACGCGTCCGGTGCTCTGCCCGCCCCGCCGCAGCCTACACCGCTGCCCACTACCCCACCGCCTACTTCCGAGCAGGAGGCTGAGTACCAGCGCCGGTTCCTCGCTCGTGACGTGTGGGAGTCTCGTGACGCTGCTGCCTGCCTCGCCCTGACCGACCTTCTCCCGCCGACTGAGGCCGTCCACTTCACTCAGGTCGAGTCTGCTGCAGACCTTTACACTGCTATTGTTGCTCGCTACTCCACTCCCTCCTCTGCCTCCCTCAGCCGCCTCCTCGTCCCCTTTATCTACCCTGACCTCGCCTCCTTTGAGACTGTCGCTGACCTCGCTACCCACCTGCGCTCCCTTGAAGCTCGCTTCAAGGCCGCTTGCACTGAGGAACAGCTTGCCCTTGCCCCCCCCCCCCCATGTGGCTCACTATTCACTGGTTAGTCACTCGCCTCCCTGACCGTCTAGCCACAGCCCGCGACGCGCTTCTCCTGAAGCACCCCACTGAGCTTACTATCGATCTTCTTGAGACCGCTCTCTCGAAGATCGAGAGTAACCTCCTCGCTGTTGCCTCCGCCTCTTCCGCGCCTCCTCCTCGTCTCTTTGAGGGGTGTGCGGTACCACAGCTTCCCACCTTCACTGCCTCGCTTGCCACTGCCGCGTCTTCTGCCTCTGAGGAGACGGCGGCCGTTTCTGTCTCTGGCGGACAGAAACGTGGCAAGAAGGGAGGGAAGGGCGGCGGGGGTTCTGGGGGCGTTGCGAGTGGCGGCGGTGGCGGTAGTACTAGTGGCGGGGGTGGCGGCGGGGGTGACTCGGGACCTGACGGCTCTCCTCTAGACGGTGGTGAGGGGTTTCCGCAGCAGCAGCAGCAGACTCCTCCGCAGCTGCCACCGCCTGGACAGCAGCAGCGGCAGGGACAGCAGCAGCAGCGCCAGGGCCAGCAGCAGCGTCCGCCTCAGCAGCAGCCCCAGCAGTGGGGCACTCAGCAGCAGTGGGGCACTCAGCAGCAGTGGGGCCCTTCGCAGCAGTGGGGCCCCCCGCAGCAGTGGAGACCTACGGGCCCCCCGAGCACTGGGCGCAGTGGTGCCCCTTCTAGTCGGGGACCCCGCTCGGCCGGCCGCGACGTTGGTCCCTGTGAGTACTGGATCCTGACGGGTCCGCGCAGGGGCACGTACTGCGGCCGCCCTGACCACTCTGCTGCACGCTGCTTCAGCCGTCTCGACGACCTGTACGTCCTGCACCACGGCCCCTCCGCTCCCCCGCCACCGCGCTGGGGACCACTCCTTGCTCGTGGTGTTGCTGTGTTTGATATGTCTATGGATGATGCTAGGTCTTATGCCATGTATGCTGATGTTGACTATAGTGCTGCTGGATCTGTTTACTTGCCTGTACCTAGCGTAGGATCTTTGCCTGTTACTAGAAGGTGCTGGTGTAGGATCCTGTCTAGCTACTAGTACAGGTGCTCCCTCGGCGGACGCGTCGCTCTCCTTCACACTGGACTCCGGAGCGACGCAGTGCTTCTTCCGCGACAGCACGACTCTTACTCCACTCTCGGCGCCGGTTTCTGTAGCACTGGCCGATCCCTCTTCGGGACCGGTCATTGCGACTCACGCCACTACCCTCCCGTGCCCAGCTGCCCCTTCCGGTTCTCTGACCGGCCTCCACGTTCCTACTTTCTCTAGGAACCTGGTTGGTGTGGCTCCTCTGGCGAGACAGCACGTCGGGGTCTGGTTTGAGCCTTCTGGTGACACTGCAGTCTGTGTGGACGGTGACACGTACGCCCCTCTGGCCACTTTTCGTCAGGAGCCGGGCTCTGGTCTGTACACCCTCCACACCGACACCCGTCCGGTTCCCCCGTCCCACCAGGTAGCCAGGTCCAGTCAGGTAGCTGTGCCAGGTCTAGTGGCTGCGTCGTGCTCGTGTCGGTCGCTGTCCCACCCTGTCCTCCTCTGGCACCACCGCCTTGGTCACCCGTCCCTCTCTCGTCTCCGCGCTATGTCCAGTCAGCGTCTTGTCTTAGGCCTCCCCCGCGACCTCCCGCCGCTCCCGCCGTCCCCCGCTCCTCCGTGCGGTCCTTGTGTCCAGGGTCGGCTGCGCGCCACTCCTCACTCCTCCTCCCTTCGTCCAGCCTCCGAGCCCTTTGAGACACTCCACTTAGACGTCTGGGGCCCCGCTTCCCGGCTTGGACCTGAGCGAGAGAGCTTCTTTCTAGTGGTCGTTGACGACTACTCTCGGTACACCACCGTGTTCCCTTTGGCGAAGAAGTCCGACGTGACTTCTACGCTGATCCGGTGGCTGCTCGCCACCGAGAGTACTCGTCGTCGTCGTGTCAGTTGTCTCCACTCCGACCGTGGGGGTGAGTTTCGCTCCGGCATTCTCGCCAGATTCTGTGCTGAGCAGGGCATCACCCAGTCCTGGACTCTTCCAGACTCTTCACAGCAGAATGGGGTTGCTGAGCGCCGGCTAGGCCTGGTCATGGAGATTGCCCGCACCTCCATGATCCACGCCCGCGCGCCCCATTTTCTGTGGCCCTACGCGGCTCGGTACGCCGCTCACCAGCTGAACCTCTGGCCTCGCGTCTCTCAGCCAGGGGCTTCACCGACCAGTCTTTGGACAGGGTCCCCTGGTGTTGCGTCGAGGTTTCGTGTCTGGGGCTGCTTGGCGCTTGTCCGCGACACCTCTGCGGACAAGCTCTCACCTCGCGGCGTCCCCTGTGTCTTCCTTGGTTTCCCTGAGGCCTCCTCTGACTTCACCTTTTACCACCCTCCCTCCCACCGGTTCTTTGACTCTCGTGACGTCAGTTTCGACGAGTCCGTCCCCTACTACGTCCGGTACCCCTGTCGAGGTCTCCCGGTTCCCCCCCTCCCCTCTTCCTCGCCCCAGCTCCTCCTCCTCCCGCTCCCTCTCCTCCGGTACCCCCCCCGGTTCCCGCTCCGTCAGGTGTGTCACAGGCTACCCCCCCTCCCTCGGTACCCCCCCAGGTCTCTCCTCCTTCCCCACAGTCGTCCTCACAGCCTCCGCAGCAGCCGTCGGCGCTTCCTCTCCCGGCCACTGCGGACTCTGAGGGTGTTGGTGCTCGAGGTGAGGGCTCTGGCGGTGCCGGTTCTGGGGGTGTTGGAGTTGGAGCTGAGCGTGCACCTGCCGCAGCTGCACGTCCCGAGCGTGTTGGAGTCGGTGGTGGTGCTGGAGCTGGTCGTGTTTCTGGAGCTGGAGAGTCTGGGGCTGGTGCTGGTGCCACTGGGCGCACCACGACTGGGGGTGCGGGTTTGCCTTCCACAGGTGCTGGTCGTGCTGCAGCGGGGGGCACTCGCTCTGGGGGTGCTCAGCCGGGCGCTGTCGAGGGTGGAGCCGGTTCTTCGTCTTCCTCTCCTGACCTCACTCCTCCTCCTCACTCCTACCCGACTCGACACCAGGCCCATCTTCATCTTGAGCGTGAGGAGCAGCAGCGTTTGGAGCGCGAGAGGTTGGAGGTTCAGCAGCGGGTGGAGCGTGAGAGGTTGGAGTTGCAGCGGGAGCAGCAGCAGCAGCAGCAGCCGCCGCCGTCGCAGCAGCAGCAGCAGCAGCAGCCGGAGCAGTCTCCGGCCCCTGTTTCTGGCCTTCGGGCCCTTGGTCTCCCCTCCTCTCCTCCTGTGTTCGGTCCTACGTTTCCTCCTCCGGACTCAGCTCCGGCTGTGTTCCCTCGTTCTCGCTCTCCCCCCTCTCCCTCTCCACTTGCCCACACTTGGGCTCCTCGTTCTCCTCGTGCTCGTCCCTCGTCCCCCGTCACTGACCTCCGTGCCGCCTTGTTTCACCCTAGCCCTCCTCGTTCTCCTCCGTCTGTTCTCCCTCGTCCTCCGGAGTCGTCCCTCACTGCCGCCCTGTCCACTCCTGTCACTGACTACTACCGCACTTACCGTCCCACTCTCTCTCGCGTTCTCGCCTCTCTTGTTACAGACCCTCGTGCCTCTCCTTCCTCTGTCGCAGTCCTCACTGCCGCTGTCACTGACTTTACTGCCACGCGTCGCCTTGACTACGCCACTCGTGTTGTGGCAGCTCCTCCTGTCCGTCCTCTGTCCGCCGGGGGTGTGTCTGCCCTTGGCTGTGACGTCCTAGAGGACAGACAGTTTGAGCTAGAGTTCCTAGCAGCCGCTTCGCCTCATCTCTGTGCCATGCTCCTTGCTCCTGAGGGTGACCCCGACGCTCCTGACATACCTACTCCTCGCACTTACGCTGAGGCAGTGTCAGGGCCTTGGGCCTCTCAGTGGCGAGCTGCCATGGACGCAGAGATGGCCTCCTACAGGTCCACAGGCACTTACGTTGACGACGTTCCCCCACCAGGGGCGAACATAGTCGACGGCATGTGGATCTTCAAGGTGAAGCGGCCGCCGGGATCTCCCCCAGTCTTCAAGGCACGTTACGTGGCTAGAGGGTTTAGTCAGCGCGAGGGGGTTGACTTCTTTCAGACCTTTGCGCCCACCCCGAAGATGACCACTCTTCGGGTGTTGCTTCACGTAGCGGCGCAGAGAGACTACGAGCTACACTCCCTCGACTTCTCCACAGCGTTCCTGCAGGGCCGCCTACACGAGGAGATCTGGCTGCGTCGTCCTCCGGGCTTCACTGGCACTTTCCCGCCTGGGACCCAGTGGAGCCTCAGACGACCGGTCTACGGTCTCCGCCAGGCACCCCGCGAGTGGCACGACACTCTTCGTTCTACTCTTTCCGACCTTGGTTTTCAGCCGTCCTCCGCCGACCCGTCGCTGTTTGTTCGTCGTGGGCGCACACCTTTCTTTGTTCTGGTCTACGTTGACGACTTGGTCTTCGCCACAGCCGACACTGTTGCACTGGCGGAGGTGAAGTCCGAACTGCAGAAGAGACACACCTGCACTGACCTTGGGGAACTGCGCCGCTACCTTGGCTTGCAGATCTCCAGGGACAGAGCCGCTCGCACCATCACTCTGACTCAGTCACACATGGTGCAGCAGGTCCTTCAGCGGTTCGGGCTTCAGCACTCCTCTCCCACACCCACTCCTCTTGCTGTAGACCACAGACTCACTGGGCCTTTTCCTGACGAGCCGTTCGAGCCCAGTGGTCCCTACGCAGAGCTGGTGGGCTGCCTCATGTACCTGATGACGTGCACTCGCCCGGACCTCGCCTTCCCTCTTAGCATCCTTTCTCGCTTTGTTGCGACTGGGAGACACCGTCCTGTTCACTGGACGGCGGCTAAGAGGGTGGCGAAGTACCTGGCCACGACGTCAGACATGGGGCTTGTACTTGGAGGGACTCAGCCAGTTGTTCTCACCGGTCACTGTGACTCCTCGTACGCTGACGACGCTGAGACTCAGAGGTCTACACAGGGTTACTGTTTCAGTCTGGGTTCTGGAGCTGTTTCGTGGAGGTCTACTCGGTCCTCCTCTGTTGCGACTTCTACCGCAGAGGCCGAGATCTACGCTGGAGCCCTTGCTGCACAGGAGCTGCGCTGGTTGACCTTCTTGCTCACTGACCTTGGCGAGCGGCCGAGCTCTGCACCGACCTTGTTTGCTGACAACAAGGCGATGATTCTCCTGTGTCGTGAGCCGCGACTGGAGAGCAGAGTGAAGCACATTGACGTCAGGTACTTCCTCCTTCGAGAGTTGCAGAGACGCGGACATCTTCACCAAGGCCTCCTTCCTCCTTCCTCCTCCTCGTTTGGACTTTGTGGCCTCCGAGGCCAACACTGCAGACATCTTCACCAAGGCCCTCCAGCCTTGTGACCACCGCCGGTTTTGTCTGCAGTTAGGCCTCGTTGAGACTGGGTCTAGTTGACTGCTGTAGGGTGCTCTTTGTCTGTTGCTTGCTTGTACCTTATATATATTTGTTTGCACACTTTTGGACTGGCCTTGTGGCCCTTTGCTTGTGCTCAGATTAGGTGGTGACGTTGTGATCCACCCTGAGCTTTGTTTTCTTTCTCTTGCTTTTGACTGGTCTTGTGACCGTAGGTTGCTTGTTGTTGATTGGCCTTCCCCACTTAGGCTATGGGGGTGTGTCAAATATTATAGCCTGTAGTGGGTTGGGCTATATGGGGTACAACTAGTTAGGGTTAGGTTATGTACCCCAATTCTGTCAATGCAACACATTCCGCTGTAGTTCTCATTCTGACATTTTTCTACCAGTTAGGGTAGCTTGACACACACAACGCATCACATGACACACACCCACCAATTCCCGCTCGTTCTCTCTGTAATGCTGGAGGCGAGTCAGATTCGTCAAGCAGTAGTACGGAATGTCCAATCGGAAGCCGTGACTTGAAAGTTGTACAGATGCTATCCTCGTGCTCCATGATGCGATGCGAACGCCGTCTCGTCGTCTCGTCTCGTGGCACCCACAAGGAGCGGAGGGAGGAAACGACTCGCTACTTCCTGGAGGCGTCGAAAGTAGGTTATAGCATTTCAGCCTATGATCTCGTCCTCTCAGCATCATTTTTTCCACCCAAACCTCCGGGATACGTTTTCGCTAGTTCTCTTCAAAGTTTGGAGCTCATCGCGATTGTTATTCACTCCCTTGGTGCCTCATCCTCTTCTCAATCCTGTCCTAAAGCGTGTCATGGCAAGGCTTATGAATGTTGTCCGTACCATGCTGGTGCTGGCACTGGCTCTTCTCCTCGTTTCCCACGGTGAGTTGCGCTCCTTCCGCCTGGACAGCGATCAGACTCAACGTCACCCCTATCTAAGAAACACCTACCCCGTTTTGCTCAGGCTGGGAACCTACTTTTCTGTTATGCTGACGTGTTGAAACTTCAGCTAATCATCAAATTGTTGTTTTTTTTTTTTATATGTAACCCAGTTCCGTTAACGGCGGGGAGGAATCCAATCAGAGACCTGGCCGAGTACTACCAGACGCGCGGCGAGTCGTGCAGCGTGTTGCTGAAGCAGTACTACGCAGGCAAGCAGTTCCGATTTGCGGTGCTCAACAACGGTCACCGCTGCAAGGACCCTGTCGCAATGGGAACCATGATCCGTGTTAAGTGACTTCCGTTCAAGGAGGAATGTGGAAGGAGAGTCCACGTGACCTGGCGTGTGGGAGGTTACTGTATGATTTGAGAGATTCGTTTGTTTTCCTTCTCAAGCTTAGCATTGTTTTAGCATGTGGTAGCAATTGCATGCATGGATGTTTCGGGTGGGTGGGGGGACTCTCAATACAGGGCGGGTCTGGTAGGCATTTTATGATTTTTCCTATGTTTGATGGTTATTAGGTGATTAATGATTTGTTTATTTGTTTCACCTAATGATGACAATCTCTAAACAACAAACCAGTGTCAAAGCATAAGCACTTGTCAATGTGTGCAACTGATGGGACATGCAGGTTGAAAATCATAGACAACTGCAGAACCTATATTGCTCAAGCAGAAAAATGTCGAATCGTACCGTAGTAAGCTATAAAAAAAAATGGGTACACATGTTGTTTTCACCAATAAAGGAGGTACAACAAAAACCTGGCAAAATAAACCGCCCAAACCTGCATCTGGAGCCGCTTTATTGTGTCGGATCGGATGGTTTCTCATGAGGGTTACAGTACCGTACTATAACCCCCCCCCAGATGAACCGTTGGTTCGCCGCAATAAAGTGCCCCTGGGTACGTTGGGGTATGGGCGGTATATTTTGGCAGGTTTTCTCATACCTTAGCCCACACTATCAATAATCTTCTCTCCATTTGTTTGGTCAATTGCACGTGTAACTCCCACAAAATGATACTATTATAATGACTTACATGTCAACTAATCAAGGCATACTCATATATTGATCATCATTGCATGGTCTACACACACACAAACTCACCCCCCCCCCACACACACACACACACGCGCGCGCGCACACACGCACACGCACACGCACACACACACACACACACACACACACACTACTAATACTATTACTACTACTACTGGATTGGGAAGAGAGGAAGGGGAGGACAAAGGGAGAACAAACGAGGTTGTGGTGGAAAAGAGAGGTAAACCAAGCTAGACACCCATAGAACCCTGGCCAAATCAAGCTGGTTCAAAGGCATCACTCCTTTGCTGCTTGTCTTGAGGAGGAGCATCACATCAGCTAGACTCTTGAACTCTTGGTCTTCATATAAGGAACTCCAGAAGCATAGTGACTAGAAGTGGATACACTTGAAAGACAACATGTCCGGTGAAGCTGATGAATAGTATCTGTTTAGTGGGACACAAAGAAGTAGGTAGATGCAGTGAAATGTGAATGCACAAGGAAAGTGGGTGTGCATGGAGTAGAGTGGCTTCTAGAATCAAGGAGGATTATGGAACAAAACAAGAATGAGACAAATGTATGGAAAACATTCGACCGGGTGTAAGGTACTTACGAAACACCATATGCGGCAATGCTGCTCAGAGACAAGAAATTGAGCTGAGCGACAACCGGTCCATAGCAGTTTGCATAGCTATACACGTAGATGATCCGACAGTTCCCCAATCCTCCGGGTGCACGGTCCACTCGCCAGTACGACAAGATGTAGCGACCAATTGCCAACGGCAGGTTGGTGCATCCGTTGTACAGCACGCGCATGGTATAGGTGCTCGTTGTTAAGGTGTATCTGGGAAGACGGTAGAAGGTGAGACTCGCCGAGGAGACGGTTGGGGGATATCCTGGAAGGATGAGCAGTGGGGGAACAGAAAATTGGAGCGTATGGTTTGGCACGGGGTATGGGTTTGTTACAAGGATGTATGACCTACTGATGAAACCCATGTGCAAGCACAACTAGCTAGACTTACACCTTGCTTATCCATAAATGCAATAAGATGCGTCATTGAATGCAAGATCATGGTCGTACCACGGACGCAAGCAGTGCTGCTCATGCCATAGCCACTAGGGCAGGAACAGTAAGGAGCCTTTGTGGTGGAAGAGACAATATTGCATGTGGCCCCGGTAGGACAGTTCCCACAGGTGGCAGGTCCTGGACAGCACAGGTTAGAGAATAGTGGGGATATGTTAGTGTGATAGGAAAGCAGGTAGATTAGAAGGTGAGAATAGATGACAGCAGGCAAGCACACAGGACAGCACAAAGCAGCACAATGCAATGTGTGCTAGAGAGCAACAAGGCACAGGAATAGTGGGGCATGAAAACAACAAACAGGGAACCATAGCATGCACAGGGAACTAACAATGCAAAGGGAGAGAGAATGGAATGAGAGGGGAAGAAGCCAAGGGGGGAGGGGGGGGAAGAGGGGGGGAAGATGAGGAGGGGGATTGGGGGGATGGTGAGGTTAAAATAACATACCGACGCAATAGCCATTGACATTTCTGTAGCCCGGCTTGCATACACAGTATGCAGAGCCATCGTCATACTTCCTACAATCCTCTGTGAACGAATTACACCCCTTAAGAATGCAAGTATCTGGGGGGAAGGAAGAGTTGAAGAAGACGAAGAAGAAAAATAATAAAACGAACGGAGCAGCAAATACAAAGCGCACTTCCTGTACAGCATGGAATTGTGGCAGAACACAAAAGCCTTACCTACCCGCACTATGCCATCATTCTGCAGCACATAGAATTCATCCTTGCAGCACTGAACTGACCAACACAGCCGTTGTCTGTCATGGCGTAGCCCCAGTTGCAGTGACTTAAGTCGACTCAAGGCACACAAACTACCGAAACACAAACCGCAGAAACATTTGTCACGCATTGCAGCACAGCAGAGCACTGACCAACACATCACCAGCACAGCAGAGCACTGACCAGCACAGCACCAACACAGCAGAGCACTGACCAACACAGCACCAACACAGCAGAGCACTGACCAACAAAGCACCAACACAGCAGAGCACTGACCAACACAGCACCAACACAGCAGAGCACTGACCAACACAGCACCAACACAGCAGGGCACTGACCAACACAGCACCAACACAGCAGAGCACTGACCAACACAGAACCAGCACAGCAGAGCACTGACCAACACCGCACCAACACAGCAGAGCACTGACCAACACAGCACCAACACAGCAGAGCACTGACCAACACAGCACCAACACAGCAGAGCACTGACCAACACAGCACCAACACAGCAGAGCACTGACCAACACAGCACCAACACAGCAGGGCACTGACCAACACAGCAGGGCACTGACCAACACAGCCGGTGTCGGTCATGGCATAGCCCCAGTTGCAGTGACAGATGGCGAGCTCCTGCTCCTTCTCACAGTACGCATTCTCTCCACAGTCCCTTATCGCACACGAGTCTGTTGGATTCACACAGGACAAAAGAAAACTTGAGAATTCTCAGGAGTGACAGACGGCGAGCTCCTGCTCCTTCTCACAGTAGGCGTTCTCCCCACAGTCCCTTATCGCACACGAGTCTGTTGGGTTTGCAGCAAGAAAAAAACACACATGTGGAATGAAGAGCAGCAACGACAGGGTGAGAACAGGAGAGTGGAAAGAATGATCGAAGCGCCCTGCCTGCACGGCATGCCCGAGAAGACTATATTGTGACTGGGAAGGTCATAATGGGACGCACCAATGGCAGAGGTGTTACGCCCTGGACAGGAAGATTCAAGCCCGTGCGACGACAGGCAACAAAGATGGTGACTGCGGCACAGTCAACTCATGCGTGCAGGACAGATTGGGCAGCAGCGGATAAGGGAAGCAAGAAGGTTCGGCTCAGCCAACTCACGAGTGCAGGACGCATTGGGCAGCAGCTGCTGGCCCCTTTGGCACACGCAGTTCGCCCAGCCTCCCTCGGCCTTGAGGCAGTTTGCGTTGGGGCCGCAGTTGCGAACCGCGCACATGTCTGCACTCAGGCACGTGGGGGCAGACAAATGCACGTGGGGGAAAACACAGGCACGTGGGGGACACAGGCACGTGGGGGACACAGGCACGTGGGGGACACAGGCACGTGGGGGACACAGGCACGTGGGGGACACAGGCACGTGGGGGTCAGAAGCAGGCACTGTTAGGGGCAGAGAGCACGTGGGGCCCGAAACATGACCTATGGTGCATTTGGGAAGCAAAAGTGCATTCAGGCAGCATAAATCACGCCATTATTTGTGCAGCAGAATTGGCCAGAAACCATAACGGCATGTGGAGAAGCTGAAACACGGATTGCAGATGTCAAGTAAGGTCATAAAGCTGCAGTGGAGCAATGCTGCATTCACTCTTTCCGAGCAGCACCCACCAATGCAGTTGCCGTCTGCGTCCCTCTCTTCGCCCGCTGGGCAGGGGCGGTTGTCAGCAGGAGGAGGCAGATCAACGTCAGCAGGTGGCCTGGTCGGATGATCTGCGAAAAGCAATGTGAGGCAGGGAATAGTTAAAAGCGCTGAAACTACGTGATCAAGGTGAAAGTGTGGCATATCCTGCAATCTGATTGTCTGCCTTTCTTTCTCCCTAAAAAATACGAACAGAGTACTCATAGCAGCGAAGAACAGAAGCAAAGCAGCACACAACAGCCTTACCAGTGCAAGTCTTGCCATCTTCCCGCAGCGTGAAGCCAGGGTCACAAATACAGGACGCCACCCCATCCACGTCCTTCACGCACTGGCCGTTCTCACATGCCAGGGCAGCACATGTGTCTGCATCGGGATCAAACAAAAATGTTAATTGCAACAGTGAGTTCGAAAGGATTATACATAAAGCAGCATGCAATCAACGAACACATGGCAACAACAGCACACAGCACATCAGCAACAGCGGACAGCACATCAGCAGCAGCACACAGCACATCAGCAGCAGAACACAACATATCAGCAGCAGCACACAACACATCAGCAGCAGCACACAGCACATCAGCAGCAGCACACAGCACATCAGCAGAAGCACACACATAAGCAGCAGCACACAACACATCAGCAGCAGCACACAACACATCAGCAGCAGCACACACCCCATCAGCAGCACCACACAGCACATCAGCAGCAGCACACAGCACATCAGCAGCAGCACACAGCACATCAGCAGCAGCACACAGCACATGAGCAGCAGCACACAGCTACCTGTGCATGTCCTGCCATCCTTCGCCAGCTCGAATCCGAGGTCACAAAAACAGGATGCCACCCCCTCTGAGTCCTTAGTGCACCCATTGTCGCCACACGCCTGGAGCACACATGTATCTGGTGAGGGAAGAGCCACAGGGGACAACAAACGTTAGAATCATGCAGTGCGATAAGGAGCGATCATCACAGCGCGATTTATCAGTGCAACACGGTTAAGCAGCACTCACCAACACAGCCATCCGCGGTCTTGGCAAAGCCAGGGTTGCAATGACAGGAGGAGACTCCCTGGTCCTCCTCACAGTAGCCGTTCTCCCCACAGTCCTCGGCGGTACACACCTCTGCCAGATTCATAGCACGAGGGTGGACAACAAAATAAGCACATGAGACAGAGACACGTTAGGAGATCAGAGGATGTTGGTGCGGTCACATGATGCTCAGAGGCCGTTAGATGCGAATGGGAGGGGTTTTAAACGAGAGGCAGCATTGGCATGGACGTTACCTTTACTAGAGGAGGATTTAAGTGCTGCCAAGAAACAAAGGGCTGCGCGCGTGTAATGACATCCGCATCCGGGCAGGAGCGGATATGGGAAGCAACAAGCATCTTCTTGAAGGGTGGGTGAGGCTGAACTCACGGGCGCAGGACGCATCGGGCAGCAGCTTGAAGCCCCTGTCGCACACGCAGTCCGCCCAGCCCGCCTCGTTCTTGAGGCACCTGGCGTTGGTGCCGCAGTTGCGTACCACGCACGAGTCTGCACTCAGGCACGCGGGAGACAGAGGTCAGACACAGCCACATGGGCGTCAGAAGCAAATCATTGGTATAACGGTAGGGAAGACCGTGCGGGATGCAGATTACAAACGAGGACGAAAGGCTGTGGAGCAACGATCAACATGATGTTGCATTACTCTTTCCACCAGCACCCACCAACGCAGTTGCCGTCTGCGTCCTTCTCTTGGCCCACTGGGCACGATAGCAGGCGAATAGCAACCACAGCCCTGGGCGCACAGGCTGGCAGAAACGGTGGGGGGGACTCCTGGAGATGGTCAGTGGCCGAGAGTTGGAGATCACAAGGCATACGAGAAACTATGCAGACATGAATGTGCAGAAATGTGCAGATCTACATGCGTAGGCAACTGTTTGCAATGGATGAGAGGACTCATTGGATGAGCATACCAGAGAGCATGAGAGTAGCCAATGCAGCAGCGAGTACAAGGCCAGAGCCTCGCATCCTGCTAGCCACGTAGAATGCAGCCATAGTTGATGATCCGAGTTTCAGAAGAGGCGATGAGAATGAGGATGCTGATCAGGTGAGCAATCTCAGATTGGAAACGCAGCCAGGAATGAATGATGCGCCGTCTTGGATGGCCCTCGCTGAAATACTTGCTGTCCAGTCCCGCCTCCTCCTGCCAGATGCGGTCACTCAATCAATCTGCCGCCTCCGAGGCAGTCCCGCCTCCTCCCGCCGGATGCGGTCACTGGAAATCCGCCCTTCCCCTGCGAAAGTTTCTGCATCCTCCCGCCCTTCCGCCCTCTCTGTGGGTGCCAAAAGAGTTTGAATTTCCCGTTGCCAGCGCATCCCAGATCTGACGTGGACAGCTTGACTCAATGACGTGGATTGCTTGACTTAATCCGACTCAGCTCCAGCATAACGGTCTGAGGACGAGCGGGAATTGGTGGGTGTAAGGTGAGGTGTGAGCTGAACAGTAGAAGCACGAGTAAGCTGCGCCGCGCGCACGGAAACTTGAAAGATGGATCCCAACAGTGCAAGTGGAAAGGAATTCTGTAAAAGATTCCTATCTGCCGCGTTTCAAAGCTGGATTACGCTGCCACGCTGGACTGCATTCCGAAGCTGAGCTGCACTCCCAGTTGCATTCCGAACGGCGCGCTGGATGTCACCCGAAGCTGCCAACGCTGCCATCCAGTGAATGCATCCAACATTGCATCCGCATCCGAAAATTGACGGGTTCGAAAACTAACTTTTCAGGCCCGAAAACTAACTAGAGCAGAAGTTACTGGCGAACTTGGTTTTTGACGCGACTCACTCAAGGTCGCAGCCAGCGATTTCCAAACTATTGGGAACCAATCGTGCTTACTCGGATTTAGGCTCGGCAATGCGCTTGATTGGTTATATTTTGGAGCTCGCGCACCCATTTGGCGTCGATTTTTTCCCGAGCAGCTAATATTCGTGTGAAATTGACACGCGTGGGATTATCTGATTGGCTTTTGAAATACAAGAAGGCATTCAATAACTGTGATAGATTGTACTTCAACTGATTGTAATTACGATGCCGTTAGAGATTGGCCTGTGTTTGTGACTATTAGCGACGAGCATTATTCTTCTGATAAGTCAAGACAATGCAGTGTAGCCTTCAGTACACGACATTAAAACAGTAAATGATATCTAATCAATTATAAATGGCCAAAAAATATTTAGAAAATAATGACACGATTAGGTATTTTTGAAACATAATTACACCATTTTTCCTACAGAAACTACATTTCGAGGTTTTGCTTCTTGAGCTTTATCAGCTAAAGAATATTGATAATTCAATTATATATTCAAGTAGACTTCATATACACTACCAATTGCAGTAAGTAAATTCTGCTAGACAACCAAACACACTGCACATCATTTTAGCACATCTGCACTATGAAAGATAGTACCCAACCTACTTTGTCCTATCAAAGAGTCAACTCAAACAGAAGCTTTAGTACTAATTAACCTGTAAGCACTTGCACACCGCAATGAGGGCCCTGTCAGAATGAACGGACAGGAATGATTGAACTAACAGTGAAATCAGTACAAGTACCTAACCCTAGAATTGTGTACCCCCTATAGGCTAACCCACTGTAGCCTAAACAAACACAACATATATAATGTTTGACACACCCCCATAGGCAAAGTGGAGGAGAGCAAGGGGTCACAAGACCAGTCAAAGCAAAGCAAAACAAGCTCAGGGTGGATCTCAAGGATACCACACAAATTCCGAGCACAAGCAAGTGGTCACAAGACCAGTTCACATGCAGGATGATAATATAACAAGAGATACAGTGATCACAACCTAGCAAGTGTAAACATGCAGGCATATATATAAAGATCACAGTACAAGCAGAGTCAAGAAGTAAGTAAGTGAGGTCCAGCAGGCACAAGGCCTAGAAGAGTACAGAAACGCTGATGGTCACAAGGCTGAAGTGCCTTGGTGAACACATCAGCAAGGTTGGCCTCAGTGGCCACGTAACGCAGACGAAGCTGACCACGCTGCTGCAGCTCTCGAGCAAGGAAGTACCGCAGGGCGATGTGCTTCGTTCTGTGCTCCAGTCTGTGCTCCTCACACAAGGCAATGGCAGCCTGGTTGTCGACGTACAGCACTGGAGGAGAACGAGGCCGCTCTCCCAAGTCGGTCAGCAGGTAGGTCAGCCAGCGTAGCTCCTGGGCAGCCATGGCTGTGGCGTAGATCTCAGCCTCACAACTGGAGCTGAGAACAGAAGAAGAGCGTGTAGAACGCCAAGAAACTGAGCCGGAGCCAAGGCTGAAGGTGTAACCCTGAGACGACCGCTGAGTAGCCTGGTCGTCTGCCCAAGAAGCGTCTGAGTGTCCAGTAAGTACAACTCGGTCTCGCCCTCCAAGCACTAGCCTCATGCCCGACGTACTGCACAAGTAGCGCAACACCCTCTTAGCGGCATCCATGTGCTCCTTCCTGTGACGGCCAGGAGCGACATAGCGCGCAAGGATGCTAAGAGGGTATGCAAGGTCAGGTCGAGTGCAGGTCATCAGGTACATGAGGCAGCCCACAAGCTCTGGATACGGGCCACTCGGCTCTACGGACTCATCCGAAGGCAGAGCTGAGAGCGAGTGACCGGTAGGCAGAGGAGTGGACTGAGGCGAGGAGTACGTGAAGCGGAAGCGCTGAAGGATCTGCTGCACCATGTGTGACTGAGTCAAGGTGATGGTGCGCCGTGCTCTGTCCCGGGTGATCCGCAAGCCAAGATAGCTTGTCAGTTCACCCAGGTCTGTGCACGTGTGTCTCCTCTGCAGCTCCGACTTCACGTGGGCGAGTGCCGCGGTGTCAGCAGTGGCAAAGACCAAGTCGTCGACGTACACGAGGATGTAGAACGGCAGCAGTGAGGTGTCTGTGCGTAGAAACAGTGACGGGTCAGCAGTAGAGGGAGCGAACCTAAGAGCCGCAAGTGTCGTCCTCAGTGTGTCGTGCCACTCACGCGGTGCCTGGCGGAGACCGTAGACCGGCCGCTGAAGCCTCCACTGGGTACCAGGAGGAACCGACCCAGTGAAGCCAGGAGGGCGGCGCAGCCAGATCTCCTCGTGCAGGCTGCCCTGTAAGAAAGCAGTGCTGAAGTCAAGTGAGTGAAGCTCGTAGTCGCGCTGAGCGGCTATGTGCAGCAGCACCCGAAGAGTGGTCATCTTCGGGGTGGGGGAGAAGGTCTGAAAGAAGTCAACTCCCTCTCGCTGACTGAAGCCTCGAGCCACGTAGCGCGCCTTGAAGACAGGAGGAGAACCCGGCGGCCGCTTCACCCTGAAAATCCACATGCCACTGACGATGTTCGCCCCAGGTGGGGGAACCTCGTCGACGTAGGTGCCTGTGGACTTCCAGGAAGCCATCTCTGCGTCCATGGCTGTCTGCCACTGAGAGGAGTAGGGACCCGCCATCGCCTCAGCGTAAGTGCGCGGGGTCGGGATGTCTGGTGCATCCGGGTCTCCCTCAGGGGCAACTAGCATGGACACGAGGTGGGGTAAAGCAGCAGCAAAGCACTGGAACTCCTCCTGTCTGTCCTCAAGGACGTCCGTGCCAAGAGCACACTCACCCCCGACGGACGGAGGACAGACAGACTCAGACTCAGACTCAGCAACAAGGCTAGTGGCGTAGTCTAGACGACACCGGGCAGCAAAGTCGATCAACTCAGCGACCAGAGCAGACGCAGCAGAGGACTCAAAGGTAGGGTCAGTGACAACAGTAGCGAGGAGACGGGTGACAGTGGGACTGGCAGCACGACGGGAGTCAGACTCCGGATCAGGAAGAGTAGGCAGAGAGGACGCAGGAGGAGACGGCAGCGGGACACGCTGAGGAGCAGTGGAGGGACGCAGAGTCATGTAGTGAGTGCCAGGGACAGGAGGAGGACGCTCACGTGGGACACGACGACCAGTGCGAGCAGTACAAACAGGCGACGCAGGACGAGACTCAGGCTCACGACGCTCTGTAAGACCTCCTGTGGGACCAGTATAAGGAGAGGGAGCAGGGAGAGGCGAGGCAGGCGGGAACTGGGACTGCGACTGGACAGGCGGAGGACACGCTACGGAGGGAGGAGGACAAGGAGGAGGAGCCTGACCAAGAACCTGCTGAAGAAGTGGTACGAAGTACGGTCGCGGCCGTGCAGCGTCTCCAGAACCAGCAGCGACACCAGCGGCAGGGTCCTCAGCACCAGCAGCAGCTCCACCGTCCAGGTCCTCAGCACCAGCAGCAGCTCGACCGCTCGGGTCCTCAGCACCAGCAGCAGCTCGACCGCTCGGGTCCTCAGCACCAGCAGCAGCTCCACCGTCCGGGTCCTCAGCTCCAGCAGTAGCTCCAACGCCCGGGTCCTCAGCACCAGCAGCAGCGCCACCGCTGGGGTCCGCAGCACCAGGAGCACCACTCCGAAGACTGCAGCGCCGCGCGTACCACTCTCGGATCTGCTGAATGGGGGGGAGCTCCTGGGTAGGAGGGGAAGTACTGGTACGAGCTCCAGTAGCACCTCTCCGGAGGCGGCAGTACTGTAGGTACCTCTCCTGCAGCTGCTGGGAGGAGAGGGCTCCTCCAGGTGTAGCACGCTCAGGATCAGCACCTCCAGACACAGCACCCCCAGACGTAGCACCCCCAGGCTCAGCACCTCGAGACTCCGCACCCCCAGGCTCCGCACCCCCAGACTCAGCACGGTCAGGCTCAGCACCCCCAGGCTCAGCACCTCCAGACGCAGCACCCCCAGACGCAGCACCTCCAGACTCCGCACTCCCAGGCTCAGCACCTCCAGGCTCCGCACCCCCAGGCTCCGCACCCCCAGACTCCTCACGGGCAGGCTCAGTACCCCCAGCAGGACGAGAGTCAACAGCTACCTCGACAGGCTCAACCGGGTCTACCTGGGACACACCTGAGGGAGCGGCACCCTGAGGGGGGAGGGGGTCTGGTACCTCAGCACCTGGAGCGAGGAAGAGAGGCGGGGGGGGGGAGCGGGGCAGTGCGGTAGGGGAAGAGGCGGTAGTAGGGGACGGACTCGTCAAAAGTGACGTCCTGAGAGGCAAGGACACGACGCGAGGTGGCGTGGTAGAACTGCCAACCAGGCGCGTCCGGGACAAAGCCAAGGAAGACACAGGGGACAGCGCGACGGGAGAGCTTGTCCGCGGACGTGTCGCGAACAAAAGCTCGAGATCCCCAGACCCGAAAACGCGACGCATCGCCAGCCTCTCCCGTCCAACGCAGTGTCGGAGAAGTCTCCGGTAAGGAGACACGGGGCCAGAGGTTGAGCTGATGCGCAGCGTATCGGACTGCAAACGGCCACAGAAAGTGGGGGGCAGCCGCATGAACCAAGGAGGTACGAGCGACCTCCATGACCAAGCCAATGCGGCGCTCAGCAACCCCATTCTGCTGTGGAGAGGCCGGAAGTGTGAACGACTGCTCAATGCCCTCCTGCTGACAGAAGGCCTCCAAGAGGCCAGAGGAAAACTCCCCACCTCTGTCAGAGTGCAGACGCAGGACAGGGAAGTCGGAGCGGAAACGCTCACTGAGCTGGAGACGAGATCTGCGGATCCAAGGGATCAAGACATCAGGGACGTCACCCTTGGCGCGCAAGGGGAAGACCGTGGTGTAGCGCGAGAAGTCGTCAACAACAATCAGGAAGTACCTCTCCTGACCCTGACCACGGACTCGGGCTGGGCCCCACACGTCCATGTGGAGCGTCTGCAAAGGAGCAGTCGTCGGGGGGAAGGAGGAGGAGTGAGGAGCGGCGCGCTGCCACCCCTCGACACAGGGAAGACAGGGAGGAGCAGGCGAGGGTGGGAGGGGAGGGAGAACCCTGGGAAGACCAGCAACAAGGTCCCGTTTGTGCATGGCCCGAAGGCGCTGCACAGACGGGTGACCAAGGCGGTGGTGCCAGAGGACAGTCTCATGCGCCAGAGAGCGACACGAGCAGGGGGCGGACAGCTGACCTGACGCAGACGCAGACGCGGACGCAGCGACCTGAGGGGACTCAGTGGTCAGTGTGTACAGGTCCGACCCCGGCTGCCGAGTGAAGGTAGCCAGGTGACGGCCCGTCCGAGCACACGTGCAGTGGGTCACGCGCTCGTAAGCAGGGGTGAACTGGTGGACACCCCTGTCCTGGAGCGCACTACCCGCCACCAAGTTCGTAGAGAACGAGGGGAGGTAGAGACCTGACAGTGTGCCTGACGGGACCGCAGGACAAGGAAGGACAGTGGAGGAGGTCGCAACGACCGGACCCCAAGAGGGGTCAGCGAGGGAGACAGCAACTGGCCGAGCGAGTGGCTCAAGGACAGTGCGGTCACGAAAGAAACAGCGAGAAGCACCTGAGTCCAGTGTGAAGGTGTGCAGTGCTGCAGTCGACTCAGTACCAGCGGGCACGGACGCACTAGCACCTAGAGCAGCAGCCTCACCATCACCTGAGGTGGCAGACACGCGAGCACCTGCAGTGGCGGTCTCACTAGCACCTAGAGCGGCAGCCTCACTCACACTACACGGCAGCTGCACCGGTCCGCGCCCAGAAGCTCCCGAACGACGCACTCCAGAGTGACTACCACGACCACCACCCCGAGAGCCCAAACTCGCGTACCACTCACGAGCCCGCTGGAGCGTAAGAGGACACTGCTGCTGCACCTGTCCACTACCAGATGCTCCCGAACAACGCACTCCAGAGCGACCACCACTACGGCCACCCCGACAGCCCAAAATGGCGTACCACGCACGCGCACGAAGCAGCTGGGGCGAAGGAGGGCACGGCAGCTGCACCTGTCCACTACCAGAAGCTCCCGACCGACCCACTCCAGAGCGACCACCACTACGGCCACCCCGACAGCCCCAACTAGCGTACCACTCACGCGCACGAAGCTGCTGGGGCGTGAGGGACTCACGCGCACGGCCCTGGAGCTGCATCTGGCCACGCCAGGAGCAGCAGTAGTAGCAGTAGCGGCAGCAACAGTAGTAACAGCAGGAGCTGTGGCAGTGGGAGTAGAAAAGGCAGTAGCAGCAGTAGCAGCGGTAGCAGTGCTGGGCAATGCTCACCAGTGGTCGGCGCGGCAGGCGCAAGACGGTGGCGACAGCGGGGCCGCTACAACTGCAGGGCTGGGCCGGGCCGCAGCAGGGAGCTCCGCGGCAGCTGCTGCAGGGCGAGGCCGGGCCGCGACGGCAGCTGCTCCAGGTGCCAGGGGCGGCTGCTGCAGTGGCGGCGGCTCCAGGGGCCAGGGGCGGCTGCTGCAGGTGCGGGCTGCTCCAGGGGGGGCTGCTGCAGTGGCGGGCGGCTCCAGGGGCTGCTACTGCAGTGGCGGGCGGCTCCAGGGGCTGCTGCTGCAGTGGCGGCTGCTCCAGGGGCTGCTGCTGCAGTGGCGGCTGCTCCAGGGGCGAGAGGCGGATTAGGTCAGGGCGACGCGGCGGGCAGGTGGCGACGCCGCGGGCAGGGCGACGCGGCGGGTAGGTGGCGACGCCGCGAGCAGGGCGACGCGGCGGGCAGGTGGCGACGCCGCGGGCAGGTCGACGCGGCGGGCAGGTGGCGACGCCGCGGGCAGGTCGACGCGACGAGGGCAGGCGACGACGCCGCGGGCAGGCGACGACGTCGCGGGCAGGCGACGACGCCGCGGGCAGGCGACGACGCCGCGGGCTGGCGACGACGCCGCGGAAAGCGGGCCGCGCGCGGGTGGCTAGCAGGCCGTGCGTGCGCGGTAGGGAGAGGCGCACGAGGGCGCAAGAGCGCACGAGGGCGCGCGGTAGGGAGAGGCGCACGAGGGCGCGAGGGCGCACGAGGGCGCGCGGTAGTAAGAGGCGCACGAGGGCGCGCGGTAGTAAGAGGCGCACGAGGGCGCGAGGGCGCACGAGGGCGCACGGTAGTAAGAGGCGCACGAGGGCGCACGGTAGGTAGGTAGGTAGGTAGCGGTGGGCCCTAAAACGGTCCTAGTGAAGGACCTGCTCTGATACCATGTCAGAATGAACGGACAGGAATGATTGAACTAACAGTGAAATCAGTACAAGTACCTAACCCTAGAATTGTGTACCCCCTATAGGCTAACCCACTGTAGCCTAAACAAACACAACATATATAATGTTTGACAGGCCCGACTTCCAACCTCTACAGGCTGCATGTTCAACATTTACATGGGGTGAGGAATATACAGGAGGTTTGATAAAGCAAAACTAGAACAAAAGGAATAGAGATATTTGCAAGAGAAAACAGCTGTAGGGGTGGGGAGAGGGTGTGCGGGTGGGAACATAATCTAGGATCAACAGGTGCAGCGAGTGTATGCATCGGCATCACTTACTGTGTGGAGGCAACGAACGAAGTTGGGGAGATGCACAATGCTCTTCGCCACACTCCAGCAGTCGGCTCCGCCCTGACACCAGCCACTGAAGTACGGGAAGGGAGGGATGGGTAGAGGGGGGGATGGTAGAGAGGAAAGGGAGAGAATGAGCGGGCCAGATTTGGCAGAAGCTCCGCACGCGGCGGCGGAATTTCCGCACGCGACTGCAGACGGTCCGCACGTGGCGGCGGAAATGTCCCGCTTGCTGCGTGAGGCGCCCGAACGGGAGCGGTCGGGAGCGGTCGGTCGATCGACCGCCATGCCTCCGTGATAAGACCCGATGGCGACACGCTGTCGCTATCTGCAAGCACACGAAGCGTAAGCGGACATGAACGTGAGTAGGCGGAGAAGGTAGAAAGAAAACTGAAAGAAAAGAGGAAATGAACGAAAGCAAAGAAACATACAAAACTGCCAAGAAAATTAATAGCGTCTCAAACTCTAAAAGGTTCCGATTTTACTCACGATGGCATCGGTACGCGACAATACTAGCAGCGCGACGTGGCACACAGCAGATCGACGAGACCAGTCGTCGATTCCGTAACGAGCTGGATCCTATGCGTCTGGATGAACGAGAGCAAAGCTAAGAGAATTACAAAGAAAGATATACGTCTTGAAGGATAAGGGGAGGAGAGGTGAGGGGGATCGAGATGAAAGGGATGCTGGTTTGGGTGGGTGGTTGTGCAAAGTTTGACGGTCAAGATTTGATAGTTGAGAGATTTTGTTGTGTGATCAACGGTGCACAATTCAAGCTAGACAAGTTCACCAGCGCTGGGGCGCGGTTTTGTTTGGCGGAAAAAGGTGAGTCAGATTGTGAAAACGCGGTGAGCCCGGAGAACCGTCGTTAAGTATAAATTGTCCTAGCAAACTAAGGGCATCCGTCTTTCCAGCGTTATGAAATGGAAAGTTGGTGTATCACGTCACTCAAAAGTAAAACTGAAGTATGTTTTAGCACATATTTAAAACAAATTTTCTTTTGTTCTAAATCATAAACATTGACAGCACATATATTAACACATCTAATCAATGTAAGTAGCATTTTTTTTGTTAAAGCTTACTTAAATTTTTTTAACGACTTCATACTATTGCGCCTCCTGCTCCTATTATTATTATTTTTTTACTACTACTACTACTACTACTACTACTACTACTACTACTACTACTACTACTACTACTACTACTACTACTACTACTACTACTACTACTACTACTACTACTACTACTACTACTACTACTACTACTACTACTACTACTACTACTACTACTACTACTACTACTATTACTACTACTACTACTACTACTACTACTACTACTACTACTACTACTACTACTACTACTACTACTACTACTACTACTACTACTACTACTACTACTACTACTACTACTACTACTACTACTACTACTACTACTACTACTACTACTACTACTACTACTACTACTACTACTACTACTACTACTACTACTACTACTACTACTACTACTACTACTACTACTACTACTACTACTACTACTACTACTATTACTACAGGCCTATCCTTTGAACTAGGCCTGTAGTAAATAGGATGTACTACATGAATGTGTGAAGAAAAAGTGCTAAAAACAACATCCAAATATTCAAACGGTGACATGTTGCGCACAGGCCTATCCTTGCACAGATTCAGGCCAGCATACGCATAAACAAGCGTCACGTGCTGCGTAGTTGGGCGAACGAGGCCAAACAAGTTCCCATGGCAAGGTAATAGGATGTACTACCTGAATGTATGAAGAAAGGGTGCTAAAAACAACATCCAAATGTTCAAACGGTGACATGTTGCGCACGTGCCTATCCTTGCACAGTTGGGCGAACGAGGCCAAACAAGTTCCCATGGCAAGATAATAGGATGTACTACCTGAATGTGTGAAGAAAAAGTGCTAAAAACAACATCCAAAAGTTCAAACGGTGACATGTTGCGCACGTGCCTATCCTTGCACAGATTCAGGCCAGCAAACGCACAAACAAGCGTCACGTGCTGCGTAGTTGGGCGAACGAGGCCAAACAAGTTCCCATGGCAAGTTAATAGGATGTACTACCTGAATGTGTGAAGAAAAAGTGCTAAAAACGACATCCAAAAGTTCAAACGGTGACATGTTGCGCACGTGCCTATCCTTGCACAGATTCAGGCCAGCAAACGCACAAACAAGCGTCACGTGCTGCGTAGTTGGGCGAACGAGGCCAAACAAGTTCCCATGGCAAGGTAATAGGATGTACTACCTGAATGTATGAAGAAAAAGTGCTAAAAACAACATCCAAATGTTCAAACGGTGACATGTTGCGCACGTGCCTATCCTTGCACAGATTCAGGCCAGCAAACGCACAAACAAGCGTCACGTGCTGCGTAGTTGGGCGAACGAGGCCAAACAAGTTCCCATGGCAAGGTAATAGGATGTAATACCTGAATGTGTGAAGAAACAGTGCTAAAAACGACATCCAAATGTTCAAACGGTGACATGTTGCGCACGTGCCTATCCTTGCACAGATTCAGGCCAGCAAACGCACAAACAAGCGTCACGTGCTGCGTAGTTGGGCGAACGAGGCCAAACAAGTTCCCATGGCAAGGTAATAGGATGTACTACCTGAATGTATGAAGAAAGGGTGCTAAAAACAACATCCAAATGTTCAAACGGTGACATGTTGCGCACGTGCCTATCCTTGCACAGTTGGGCGAACGAGGCCAAACAAGTTCCCATGGCAAGATAATAGGATGTACTACCTGAATGTGTGAAGAAAAAGTGCTAAAAACAACATCCAAATGTTCAAACGGTGACATGTTGCGCACGTGCCTATCCTTGCACAGATTCAGGCCAGCAAACGCACAAACAAGCGTCACGTGCTGCGTAGTTGGGCGAACGAGGCCAAACAAGTTCCCATGGCAAGGTAATAGGATGTAATACCTGAATGTGTGAAGAAACAGTGCTAAAAACGACATCCAAATGTTCAAACGGTGACATGTTGCGCACGTGCCTATCCTTGCACAGATTCAGGCCAGCAAACGCACAAACAAGCGTCACGTGCTGCGTAGTTGGGCGAACGAGGCCAAAAAAGTTCCCATGGCAAGGTAATAGGATGTACTACCTGAGTATGTGAAGAGAAAATGCTAAAACCGACATCCAAACGTTGAAACGGTGACATGTTGCGCATTGGCCTATCCTTGCACAGATTCAGGCCGGCATACGCACAAACAAGCGTCACGTATAGCATAGTTGTGCGAACAAGGTCAAACGAGTTCCTCCGGCAAGAATATAGGACGCAAAAACCCGAATGTGTAAAGAAATAGTGCTAAAAACAACGTCCAAATGTTCAAACGGTGACGTGTTGCGCACATGCCTGTCCTTTGCACAGATGCAAGGCAGCAAACGCACAAACACGCACCACGAGCTGCGTAGATGTGATAACGAGATGAAATCAGTTCCTATGGCTAGGGAATAGGATGTAGTAGAGAACTCTATGAAGAAATAGTGGTAAAAATGTCAGAATCCCAACCACTAACCACTGGGATAAAAGGGCTTGTTTGTGTAGCGGGTGAGTGCGCCCATAACCCCCCAGGCCAACGTGCCTGTAACCCTTCCCTAGGATCATCGGGGATCTCCAGTGGACCTCTGACACCCCCCCGCACTGGGATGCCCGAGGTGCACACACCGGGATTCGAACCCGAGACCTTCGCTCTGATACCATGTCAGAATCCCAACCACTAACCACTGGGATAAAAGGGCTTGTTTGTGTAGCGGGTGAGTGCGCCCATAACCCCCCAGGCCAACGTGCCTGTAACCCTTCCCTAGGATCATCGGGGATCTCAGGTGGACCTCTGACAAAAAAGGGCATTCAGACGTTGGCGCAGTGACATGTTGCGCACAGGCCTATCCTCACACAGATTCAAGCCAGCAAGCGCACGAACAAGCGTCACGTGCTCCTTAGTTGTGCGAACGAGATGAAATAAGTTCCCATGAATATGTAATAGGATGTAGTAGAGAACTGTGTGAAGAAATAGTGGGAAAAAAGGCATTCAGACGTTGGCGCAGTGACGTGTTGCGCACAGGCCTGTCGTCAAACAGATTCAGGCCAGCAAACGCACAAACAAGCCTCACGTGCTGCGTAGTTGTGCTAACGAGATGAAATCAGTTCCTATGGCTAGGTAATAGGATGTAGTAGAGAACTGTGTGAAGAAATAGTGGTAAAAAAGGCATTCAGACGTTGGCGCAGTGACATGTTGCGCACAGGCCTATCATTGCACAGATTCAGGCCAACATACGCACAAACAAGCGTCGCGTCCTGCGTAGTTGTGCGAACAAGGTCAAACCAGTTCCTATGGGAAGGTAATAGGATGTACTACCTAAATGTGTGAAGAAATTGTGAAAAAAAAAAAAAAAAAACATTTGAACATGTGAGCATCGAAAACTTGGCAAGGATAAGCTTGTGCGACACGTGGTGTCGTTTCAACGTCTGATGATTTTTTTATTTACAAGGTTTCTTTTGATATTTCTCTACAGCTACTATATTGCAAGCATGCAATACAACTTTGGTGGCATTCGCCCCATCTGGTATAAAAGTATGTCGCTTCAAACGATTGAGCAGGAAAAACTGTGCAAGGATAGGACTGTCCGTTTGCGCGGTGCCATTTTGTTTCCCAAATGCGTATGGTTGTTTAAAATACATCTGAAACAAACATTCCAAACACACTTCGCATGAAGTCACAAAATACCGTACAAAAACACGTTCTATATTTACTCCTAGTTGTAAACTCAATGTATCCAATATGCCTTTGTCATATTTTCCCTTCACATATCGAACATCGAGTATGGAGCCAGAAGGGAGTTCCAAACAGTGTCGCGCCAGATACTGCCACCCGAGTTGTCCGAGACACGAGGTTTCAGTGCAAAAAGCGACGCACGCGACAATTCTTCTGCAACCAGATTGGCGCCAAGCCAAAACCACCGCGCCCAGACCAAATTCGAACCTGCATCCCCGTTTCGGTTCGGTTTCGGAGCAGCACCACAACCAAATGCCCCGCAGAAGTTACTTAACCAAACTAACTTGTTTGGAAGTAACTTTTTGGGGCCCGTCAATTTTGGGATGCGGTGCCGTACACGCAGGCTCGGTTGGATGGCTCCGTCTGTGCACAGAACATCGAACTGTTCTCAAGAACCTGCTCTCAAGAACCGGTTTGACCAAGACAAGAGAGATAGTGCCTCACAAGCTGGAATGATGAGATCGTACACCCTCATTCTCAGTCTACGCACAATTGGGAGCCCTGGCTACAGTGCGTACTGTTGCTTGGACCCTAGCGATCTGGTGCTTGGAGCCGAACTCTAGGTAGGTGGCGGGCAAATGCACTCCCAGGGAACGGTAGACAACGGTATGTAAACTTACAACTAGTTTTCCGTACGGCTGAGTACGGCAAATGTGCTTACAGCGTATGTTCTTGGACCATGTTGGACGCATTGATGTCATTACAGCTGGCATGTTCATGTGGCGATTGTGCACAGACTGAGAATGAGGGTGTATAGGCAGGCTCGATTAGATACACCCTCATTCTCAGTCTACGCACAATTGGGAGCCCTGGCTACAGTGCGTACTGTTGCTTGGACCCTAGCGATCTGGTGCTTGGAGCCGAACTCTAGGTTGTCGGAATCAACAGACAGGAATGATTGAACTAGCAGTGAAATCAGTACAAGTACCTAACCCTAGAATTGTGTACCCCCTATAGGCTAACCCACTGTAGCCTAAACAAACACAACATATATAATGTTTGACACACCCCCATAGGCAAAGTGGGGGAGAGCAATAAGAGGGTCACGAGACCAGTCAAAGCAAAGCAAAACAAGCTCAAGGTGGATCTCAAGGATACCACACAAATTCCGAGCACAAGCAAGTGGTCACAAGACCAGTTCACATGCAGGTTGATAATATAACAAGAGATACAGTGATCACAACCTAGCAAGTGTAAACATGCAGGCATATATATAGAGATCACAGTACAAGCAGAGTCAAGAAGTAAGTAAGTGAGGTCCAGCAGGCACAAGGCCTAGAAGAGTACAGAAACGCTGATGGTCACAAGGCTGAAGCGCCTTGGTAAACACATCAGCAAGGTTGGCCTCAGTGGCCACGTAACGCAGACGAAGCTGACCACGCTGCTGCAGCTCTCGAGCAAGGAAGTACCGCAGGGCGATGTGCTTCGTTCTGTGCTCCAGTCTGTGCTCCTCACACAAGGCAATGGCAGCCTGGTTGTCGACGTACAGCACTGGAGGAGAATGAGGCCGCTCTCCCAAGTCGGTCAGCAGGTAGGTCAGCCAGCGTAGCTCCTGGGCAGCCATGGCTGTGGCGTAGATCTCAGCCTCACAACTGGAGCTGAGAACAGAAGAAGAGCGTGTAGAACGCCAAGAAACTGAGCCGGAGCCAAGGCTGAAGGTGTAACCCTGAGACGACCGCTGAGTAGCCTGGTCGTCCGCCCAAGAAGCGTCTGAGTGTCCAGTAAGTACAACTCGGTCTCGCCCTCCAAGCACTAGCCCCATGCCCGACGTACTGCACAAGTAGCGCAACACCCTCTTAGCGGCATCCATGTGCTCCTTCCTGTGACGGCCAGGAGCGACATAGCGTGCAAGGATGCTAAGAGGGTATGCAAGGTCAGGTCGAGTGCAGGTCATCAGGTACATGAGGCAGCCCACAAGCTCTGGATACGGGCCACTCGGCTCTACGGACTCATCCGAAGGCAGAGCTGAGAGCGAGTGACCGGTAGGCAGAGGAGTGGACTGAGGCGAGGAGTACGTGAAGCGGAAGCGCTGAAGGATCTGCTGCACCATGTGTGACTGAGTCAAGGTGATGGTGCGCCGTGCTCTGTCCCGGGTGATCCGCAAGCCAAGATAGCTTGTCAGTTCACCCAGGTCTGTGCACGTGTGTCTCCTCTGCAGCTCCGACTTCACGTGGGCGAGTGCCGCGGTGTCAGCAGTGGCAAAGACCAAGTCGTCGACGTACACGAGGATGTAGAACGGCAGCAGTGAGGTGTCTGTGCGTAGAAACAGTGACGGGTCAGCAGTAGAGGGAGCGAACCCAAGAGCCGCAAGTGTCGTCCTCAGTGTGTCGTGCCACTCACGCGGTGCCTGGCGGAGACCGTAGACCGGCCGCTGAAGCCTCCACTGGGTACCAGGAGGAACCGACCCAGTGAAGCCAGGAGGGCGGCGCAGCCAGATCTCCTCGTGCAGGCTGCCCTGCAAGAAAGCAGTGCTGAAGTCAAGTGAGTGAAGCTCGTAGTCGCGCTGAACGGCTATGTGCAGCAGCACCCGAAGAGTGGTCATCTTCGGGGTGGGGGAGAAGGTCTGAAAGAAGTCAACTCCCTCTCGCTGACTGAAGCCTCGAGCCACGTAGCGCGCCTTGAAGACAGGAGGAGAACCCGGTGGCCGCTTCACCCTGAAAATCCACATGCCACTGACGATGTTCGCCCCAGGTGGGGGAACCTCGTCGACGTAGGTGCCTGTGGACTTCCAGGAAGCCATCTCTGCGTCCATGGCTGTCTGCCACTGAGAGGAGTAGGGACCCGCCATCGCCTCAGCGTAAGTGCGCGGGGTCGGGATGTCTGGTGCATCCGGGTCTCCCTCAGGGGCAACTAGCATGGACACGAGGTGGGGTAAAGCAGCAGCAAAGCACTGGAACTCCTCCTGTCTGTCCTCAAGGACGTCCGTGCCAAGAGCACACTCACCCCCGACGGACGGAGGACAGACAGACTCAGACTCAGCAACAAGGCTAGTGGCGTAGTCTAGACGACACCGGGCAGCAAAGTCTATCAACTCAGCGACCAGAGCAGACGCAGCAGAGGACTCAAAGGTAGGGTCAGTGACAACAGTAGCGAGGAGACAGGTGACAGTGGGACTGGCAGCACGACGGGAGTCAGACTCCGGATCAGGAAGAGTAGGCAGAGAGGACGCAGGAGGAGACGGCAGCGGGACACGCTGAGGAGCAGTGGAGGGACGCAGAGTCATGTAGTGAGTGCCAGGGACAGGAGGAGGACGCTCACGTGGGACACGACGACCAGTGCGAGCAGTACGAACAGGCGACGCAGGACGAGACTCAGGCTCACAACGCTCTGTAAGACCTCCTGTGGGACCAGTGTAAGGAGAGGGACCAGGGAGAGGCGAGGCAGGCGGGAACTGTGACTGCGACTGGACAGGCGGAGGACACTCTACGGAGGGAGGAGGACAAGGAGGAGGAGCCTGACCAAGAACCTGCTGAAGAAGTGGTACGAAGTACGGTCGCGGCCGCGTAGCGTCTCCAGAACCAGCAGAGACACCAGCGGCAGGGTCCTCAGCACCAGCAGCAGCTCCAACATCCGGGTCCTCAGCACCAGCAGCAGCTCCACCGCTCGGGTCCTCAGCACCAGCAGCAGCTCCACCGTCCGGGTCCTCAGCTCCAGCAGCAGCTCCAACGCCCGGGTCCTCAGCACCAGCAGCAGCGCCACCGCTCGGGTCCGCAGCACCAGCAGCAGCTCCAACGCCCGGGTCCTCAGCACCAGTAGCAGCGCCACCCCCAGGGTCCGCAGCACCAGGAGCACCACTCCGAAGACTGCAGCGCCGCGTGTACCACTCTCGGATCTGCTGAATGGGGGGGAGCTCCTGGGCAGGAGGGGAAGTACTGGTACGAGCTCCAGTAGCACCTCTCCGGAGGCGGCAGTACTGTAGGTACCTCTCCTGCAGCTGCCGGGAGGAGAGGGCTCCTCCAGGTGTAGCACGCTCAGGCTCAGCACCCCCAGACTCAGCACCCCCAGACTCAGCACCCCCAGGCTCAGCACCCCCAGGCTCAGCACCTCCAGGCTCAGCACCCCCAGACTCAGCACCCCCAGGCTCAGCACCCCCAGGCTCCGCACCTCCAGGCTCCGCACCCCCAGGCTCCGCACCCCCAGGCTCAGCACCCTCAGACTCCTCACGGTCAGGCTCAGCACCCCCAGCAGGACGAGAGTCAACAGCTACCTCGACAGGCTCAACCGGGTCTACCTGGGACACACCTGAGGGAGCGGCACCCTGAGGGGGGAGGGGGTCTGGGACCTCAGCACCTGGAGCGAGGAAGAGAGGCGGGGGGGGGAGCGGGGCAGTGCGGTAGGGGAAGAGGCGGTAGTAGGGGACGGACTCGTCAAAAGTGACGTCCTGAGAGGCCAGGACACGACGCGAGGTGGCGTGGTAGAACTGCCAACCAGGCGCGTCCGGGACAAAGCCAAGGAAGACACAGGGGACAGCTCGACGGGAGAGCTTGTCCGCGGACGTATCGCGAACAAAAGCTCGAGATCCCCAGACCCGAAAACGCGACGCATCGCCAGCCTCTCCCGTCCAACGCAGTGTCGGAGAAGTCTCCGGTAAGGAGACACGGGGCCAGAGGTTGAGCTGATGCGCAGCGTATCGGACTGCAAACGGCCACAGAAAGTGGGGGGCAGCCGCATGAACCAAGGAGGTACGAGCGACCTCCATGACCAAGCCAATGCGGCGCTCAGCAACCCCATTCTGCTGTGGAGAGGCCGGAAGCGTGAACGACTGCTCAATGCCCTCCTGCTGACAGAAGGCCTCCAAGAGGCCAGAGGAAAACTCCCCACCTCTGTCAGAGTGCAGACGCAGGACAGGGAAGTCGGAGCGGAAACGCTCACTGAGCTGGAGACGAGATCTGCGGATCCAAGGGATCAAGACATCAGGGACGTCACCCTTGGTGCGCAAGGGGAAGACCGTGGTGTAGCGCGAGAAGTCGTCAACAACAATCAGGAAGTACCTCTCCTGACCCTGACCACGGACTCGGGCTGGGCCCCACACGTCCATGTGGAGCGTCTGCAAAGGAGCAGTCGTCGGGGGGAAGGAGGAGGAGTGAGGAGCGGCGCGCTGCCGCCCCTCGACACAGGGAAGACAGGGAGGAGCAGGCGAGGGTGGGAGGGGAGGGAGAACCCTGGGAAGACCAGCAACAAGGTCCCGTTTGTGCATGGCCCGAAGGCGCTGCACAGACGGGTGACCAAGGCGGTGGTGCCAGAGGACAGTCTCATGCGCCAGAGAGCGACACGAGCAGGGGGCGGACAGCTGACCTGACGCAGACGCAGACGCGGACGCAGCTACCTGAGGGGACTCAGTGGTCAGTGTGTACAGGTCCGACCCCGGCTGCCGAGTGAAGGTAGCCAGGTGACGGCCCGTCCGAGCACACGTGCAGTGGGTCACGCGCTCGTAAGCAGGGGTGAACTGGTGAACACCCCCGTCCTGGAGCGCACTACCTGCCACCAAGTTCGTAGAGAACGAGGGGAGGTAGAGACCTGACAGTGTGCCTGACGGGACCGCAGGACAAGGAAGGACAGTGGAGGAGGTCGCAACGACCGGACCCCAAGAGGGGTCAGCGAGGGAGACAGCAACTGGCCGAGCAAGCGGCTCAAGGACAGTGCGGTCACGAAAGAAACAGCGAGAAGCACCGGAGTCCAGTGTGAAGGTGTGCAGTGCTGCAGTCGACTCAGTACCAGAGGGCACGGACTCACTAGCACCTAGAGCAGCAGCCTCACCAGGACCTGGGGCAGCAGACTCACTAGCACCTAGAGCGGCAGCCGGACTGGTCTGAATGCCCGGGTCGGGCGGAACACGCAAGTACTGAGCACCCTCTCCACTAGTAAACATCGCATACATGGCAGTGAGAATAGCATCAAAGTCTAAAGCCCAGATATCAACTCCCTTCTTCTCCAGATCAGCCCAGCGGGGCAGCTCAGTGGCATCAGGAAACTGGGCACGCCACGCGTCAGTAAGGCGTGCGAAACAGCGCTGTGTGGGATGCGGCCTCCCACACTGCTGGCCAGTGCGGTCACCAGTGCGAATGACGTACGTGCAGGTAAAGCCACGCTGCGCATACCACTCACGGGCGGCCTGAAGCGACGGGGCGGGCTGCTGACTCTGGCCACCGCCAGCGCCTCCACGACCACCACTGCCGCCGCCACCGCCTCGGCCACCTCCACCCCTGCCGCTGCCACGACCACCTCCGCCTCCGCTGCCGCCTCCACCCCTGCCGCCACTCCCGCCGCTGCTGTCACCACCCCCACTGCCGCCACTAGCCTCCCCAGCCGCTCCTCCACTCCCACCGCCTCCACCCCCACCTCCTCCGCCGCCACCTCCACCCTTGCCCCCTTTGCTCTTGCGGCGCCCGCTCGAAGCAGACGCGGCCCCGACCTTCTCAGCACCAAGGAGGTCGACAGCAGCAGCAGAGGCGACAGAGGGGAGGAGAGGGGAAGGGGAACACCCCTCAAAGAACGGGGTGCGGGGGTCGCCACGAGAGGTGCCTACAGCGACGATGCTCGCCTCAGCTGCAAGCAGTTCCTTCTCGAGGAGGGCAATGGTGAGTTCAGTGGGGGAGCGAGAGAGGAAGTGGTCCCTGACTGTGCGCAGGGAGTCGGGGAGGCGGGTGACTATGTGGTAGAGAGTGATCCAGAGCGGGGGGGGGGTTGCTGGTGAGGAACTCGTCAGGCATAGCAGCGCGAAAGCGGGCCTCACTGGTCTTAAGGTGGGTGATGAGGTCAGCAACTGTCTGAAAGGAGGCCAGGTCGGGGAACAGGTAGGGGAGAGTGAGGCGGCCTAGTGTGGCAGAAGCGGGGGAGGAGTAGCGAGCGACTACAGCAGTGTACAGGTCCTTAGCAGTTTTGTGCTGGCCAAAGTGCTCGCGCTCGTCGATCGGTAGGGAGTTACGAATAGCGAAGCGAGCGTGGGCGTCACGAGTCTGCCACTGTGAGCGCTGAGTGCTGTCAGCAGTGGTAGGAGGGGCAGTAGCGTTGCCTAGGGCGTGATCGTACAGTGAAACGTCCTCCTTAGCAGTGAGCTGTAGAAAGAGGTGGAGGTCATCGAGCCAGGTTTCGAACTTCACTGGACGGCCCTCAGCATCGAAAGTAAGTACAGTAGGAGTAGCCATAGCGGCAGTAGCAGTAGCGGTAGAAACAGTAAGAATGAGGCCGCAGGGAAGCTGTGGGCAGTGTCAGCACACGGGCGGCAGCAGCTGATGCGCACGGGCGGGAGCGGCAGTGGGCGCAGAAGCGGCGGCCGCAGTGGGAGCGAGTGCAGCAGCGGCAGCGGTAGCAGGCGCAACAGGAGCGCACGGGCGGTAGCGGCCGCGGCGCACGAGCGGGAGCGGCTGCGGGCGACGCGCAGGCGGTAGCTGCAGCGGCGGGCCCGTGGTAGCGGCAGCTGCAGCGGGCGACAAGCAGGCGGCAGCTGCAGCGGGCGACGAGCGGGCGGCAGCAGCAGCGGGCGACGAGCGGGCGGCAGCTGCAGCGTGCGACGAGCGGGCGGCAGCAGCAGCGGGCGACGAGCGGGCGGCAGCTGCAGCGGGCGACGAGCGGGCAGGCGCTGCAGCGGGCGACGAGCGGGCGGCAGCAGCAGCGAGCGACGAGCGGGCGGCAGCTGCAGCGAGCGACGAGCGGGCGGCAGCAGCAGCGGGCGACGAGCGAGCGGCAGCTGCAGCGGGCGACGAGCGGGCGGCAGCAGCAGCGGGCGACGAGCGGGCGGCAACTGCAGCGAAATCAGTACAAGTACCTAACCCTAGAATTGTGTACCCCCTATAGGCTAACCCACTGTAGCCTAAACAAACACAACATATATAATGTTTGACATAGGTAGGTGGCGGGCAAATGCACTCCCAGGGAACGGTAGACAACGGTATGTAAACTTAAAATTAGTTTTCCGTACGGCTGAGTACGGCAAATGTGCTTACAGCGTATGTTCTTGGACCATGTTGGACGCATTGATGTCATTACAGCTGGCATGTTCATGTGGCGATTGTGCACAGACTGAGAATGAGGGTGTACATGTTGCTTTGCTTTGCATTGCTGGATTTACTCCGCAGTACACGTACTTTGATCAGGATCAAATCGAAACCTCAACCAACCGGTTTCACTGTTGAATTGACCCAGCAGCAGCTCGCGAAAAGGGACAAGAGTTGACACCGTCAGTAGCTGTACAAGTGGCAGGGTTGTCACAGTTCAGAGCCCCAACACGAAGCCGCCCCAAGCATTTGTCACGGCTCTCGCTAAGAGATTCGCTCACTACTACCAAAAAGCATATATCAATTCAATCTTGTATCTGCATACATAACCGACCATTTAGTAGCCCCAGGGTTTTGTTAGGAAAAAAGAACAACCCCTTAGTTCCTTTCACCACGTAAAAACAACCCTGACTTGTATTTCAAATTAAACATGATACTTGACATGTACCATATTACCCCGGATATAAGAGCATCTGCGCAAGCAGCGTTTTTTCAGAGGGTGCGATTATGATTGAGTATATAAGGCCTGGCCATGATCTAGCTCCACCTCTGATTTCGTTCTCACATGCAAGGAGAATCCAGAGTCCTACAGCCAGAAGAATACGGTACTGTATATCATACAACACCCTTTCGTGCATTACAACGCAGCAGGAGCACCGGTGCGAGCAAACAGCACGGTGCTCCCATCCCCCATCACATGCACTCTCTTCAGTCCCCACACCGCAAACGTCTCCTCACACTTCTGCCGCCTCTTCGCCCCGTCCCTCCCCGCCAGCTCAGCATGGAACCTCACCGCCACCTGGCCAATCGGAACACTCCCAGGCGTGGGCCCCACAGGGGTCTTTTCGGCCAATGCCGCGGCGCCATGTTGCGTCAGATCGCCCACACTCGTTCCGAATGCATCTCCCCCTCCTAATCCCCCTCCTCCCCTTCCCCCCCCCCCTGCTCCTCCTCCTCCTCCTCCTGCTGCTGCTGCTGCTGCTGCTGCTGCTGCTGCTGCTGCTGCTGCTGCTGCTGCTGCTGCTGCTGCTGCTGCTGCTGCTGCTGCTGCTGCTGCTGCTGCTGCGGCATTCTCACACAAATCGAGCTCCAGCCCGGCGATATCCAGCCGTAGGATGTCGATCCAACGGTGGGAGTGCATGCACATGAACGTGCGCAGGCGCAGCACTGCTGCCTCCCGAGTCTCTTGAGCCGAAGACGCGGAGGAAGCAGAAGAGGATGCAGAGAATGAGGGAGAGAATGGGGAAGAGGAGGAGGGAGAGGGTATGGGGTGGAAGAGGGCAACGCCGTCCCGGGGTCCGAGGGCGAAGGGGCGGAACTGGGGGGAGCGGCGGGGGGAGAGGCCCTTGATGGGTTGCAGCATGGAGGTGAAGGTGGTGTCGTTGACAAATGGGTCGAACACAAACACCTGCGAGAAGGGGGGGTTGGTGGGGTGTGGAAGGAAGGAAATTAACGGCAATTGCATGGTTGCAGCATGGAGGCGAAGGTGGTGTTGTTGACAAAGGAGTCGAACACAAACACCTGTGAGAGGGGGGAAGTGGGTAGGACGTGATGTGGACGGAGGAAGTGGAGAAGCGATCGGCAATTTTATTGTTGCAGCATGGAGGAGAAGGTGGTGTCGTTGACGAATGGGTCGAACGCTAACACCTGCGCAAGGGGGAGGGTTGGTGGGGTGTGGAGAATTGTGGGGAATGAGCAGCGATTGGGTGATGGAGTGGAGCAAGAAGGAGAAGGAGGTGTCATTGACGAATGGATCGAACGCAAACACCTGTGTGAGGGGTTTTAAAATGGGGTGTAAGGAGGGGAGTGCATGGCGTTTGTATGGTTCAAATGAGCATTGATTGTAGAAGAAGGTGGTGATGTTGACAAAGGGGTTAGACACCAACACCTGCACATGGAAGGAGAGGCAGTGTGGGAAGAGGGGAGGGGAGTGAAGTGTGGTGAAGTGTGGTGAAGTGTGGGAGGAGGGGAGTGAGCAACAATTGGATGGTTGGCTAGAGCATGGAAGAAAAGGAGGTGGTGGTGTTGACGATTGATCGAACACAAACACCTGCGCGAGGAATGTAGGGATAAGCTGGATGAATGAAAGGCTGCAGGAGAACGAAATGCCTATCGAAAAATGTGACATACAGATGCGGTGGATGCAATGGGATGGGTGAGATGGGTGAGATGGATAGGGGCAGTAGGGATGGGTGAGATGTATAGGGGCAGTAGGGATGGGTGAGATGGATAGGGGCAGTAGGGATGGGTGAGATGGAATAAACTAGATTTATCACGAACGCATATCGGACTATCTAATACCCCATTCACACACAGCCCCGCATCACCTGCTGTCCTCTTAGGGTCGAGCTCACTCGCGCCCTCCCTCCCCACACCCCCTCTCCCCCCCACATCCCCCCTCCCCGACCCCACTCACCCTCCCCACCCCACCCCACCCCACCCCACCCTGCTTTCCACCCTCACACCTCACTCCACACCTCCTCCCCGTACCTGCTGTCCTCTCTCTCAGAGCCGTCGCTCCCTCAAACAAAAAACTCGAGGGGCCCACACACAAGCGAATGAACGAACTTCTCTTGGTCGCAGGTAGTCCAATCGTACCACACAATACACCTTCCCATCTCACACAACCCCCGCCTCACCTACTATCTTCTCAAGGTCATTTCGCCTTCAAACAGAAAGTTCAAGCACGTTTGCCCCCACGCTCCCCACCCCACTCCCTCTTCCACCCCACCCCACCACCACCTCCTCCCCTCACCAAATGAGTACACAACTCCTCTCGGCCGCAGGTGATCCAATCATACCACACAATACCCCTTCCCCCCTCACATAACCCCTGCCTCACCTGCTGTCCTCTCAAGGTCATTTCGCCTTCAAACAGAAGGTTCGGGCCAACACCAAACGAATAAACGATTCCTCTTGGGCGCAGGTGATCCGAGCACACAGGCCACACGATTCCCTCGCCTTTTTCTTTCGCCTGCCCGGGCTGCCCTGCCGCTTGCAGGAAGGGAAGCGGCGGTGCAGAAAGAAATCCACGTCCTCTGCAGTTGTGACTCCCTCCGCTCTTCTTTTTCTTCTGCCCGGGATCTGTGAGGAGGTGTCTGGCGGGCAGGTGGAAAGGTGAGAGGAGTTGGAGCCACAGTACTAGACGTTTGTTTAGTGGGAAATGCGGAGAAGGGGGGGGTGAGGGTGGAAATTAGGGGGCGTGAGAGGCAGGGGGAAGTGGCGGAGGAAGGTAGAGAGAGAGGCGGGGGGGGGGAAGAGGGGAGGGGGAGACAGGACAAATGTCAGAGCATTGTTTTGAATGTACCAGGAAATGGGGGTATTGAGACGACTGGGAAGCCGAATGGCATAGCGACAAGTCAAGAATCCACACGCATGGAGAAGGGGTGGAAGGGAAGGGAGTGAGAGCACCGTCCCTCCCCACCCTCCCCACCCTTCCCCTCCCCAACCTCCCCACCCTCCCCAACCTCCCCACCCTCCCCAACCTCCCCACCCTTCCCCTCCCCAACCTCCCCACCGTCGGATGCGGAGAGAATGGACGGCGGATACACGATGAGCGTGCGGAGAGAGTAGGCCTGCACGGCGACGAAGAGAACGAGCAGCACGTGCCACGGGAGAATCGCCGGGATTGCACTGTCTAATTTCGCCTCCTGGTTAAGAGCGTGGGCTGCCGGGCAGGTGGAATCGCGGGGGAGGGAGGTGAGCCGCGACAGTTTCTGAATCGATTCCAAAATCATAAATGGGCCATAGCCCGCACGTCAACCGCTCGAGGATTTTGGAGTACTTCTATTGTATTAACGATAAATGCTTAAGGTGAGTGGCACCATATCCTGCAAGGTGACTTTTGAGTCGACTCAAAAGTACTTATATTGTATTAACGATAAATGCTTAAGGTGAGTGGCACCATATCCTGCAAGGTGACTTTTGAGTCGACTCAAAAGTAATTATATTGTATTTACGATAAATGCTTAAGGTGAGTGGCACCATATCCTGCAAGGTGACTTTTGAGTCGACTCAAAAGTACTTATATTGTATTAACGATAAATGCTTAAGGTGAGTGGCACCATATCCTGCATTCCATCCTCCATGGTCGCACAGTAGCAGGTAGCCTATCAGTACCTTTGAAAGTGCTGCCGGTAACCAGGCGAGCGACAGTAATAGGACGAGAAACACAGCCGCAGCGCAGGGAGCACGACCGGCGGTCGACGAACCGCTCTCCACCGGTGAATACCGAGGAGGGACATAATAGCTAGCAGTGCTACAGGAGTTGCGGGTAATTGCTCCTGAAGCCGAGCCGAGATGAAGTATCTACGTGTCACTGCTCGTGGAGACGAGCTGTGCGAGTGAATCTGCATTTACAACCCAGGTACACGTTTCAAGCACAGGAGGGAAAGGTGGGATTGTGAGGGGAAAGACTCAGCGATGGATGCCATTCCAGTAGCTGCACGTGTCCCCCCACTGCTGCTGCTGCGTCGCCCACCAGCCAGCTGCATTACGTTGCTGAAGGGGAAAGGTGGGGTTAGGAGAGGAAAGACTCGCAGAAGGATGGTCCGCCTGCACGTGCACATGTGCCGTCACATTCGTCCATTGACCATAAGCCTCCCTCCTTTTTTTCCGTTGCCCCTTCTAGACCCGCCTGCGCGTGCACATGCGCCGTCGCTGCTGCTGTGTCGCACAGAGGCGGGAGAGGGAAAGGGAGGAGGGGGGGGAGAGAGAGAGGAGGAGATTCGACAAGGAGAGGGTGAGGGTAAAGAGGATATAGGAAGAGGGGAGAGAGGGAGCGGAGGAGATAGGACGAGGGGAGAGAGGGAGAGGGTGAGAAGGAAGAGGAAGGGGAGGAAAAGGAGGAGATAGGAAGGCGGGTGAGAGGGAAAGGAGGGGATCGGAAGAGGGGGAGAGTGGGATGTGGGGGGATAGGGAAGAGCAGTGACTGGGACGGGCGGAGCTTGGACGATGGGGGAGAGCGATGGGGGGGTATACGGAAGAGGGGAGACAGGGGTGATGGGATGGGAGAGAGGGAAGGGAAGAGTGTCGACAAGGATGGAGAGGGCAGGGGGGAAACTGATTGCAAGGAAGGGAGAAACTGAGTGTAGAGAGGGGAGAAACTTAGAGGAAGCAGGTGGGGAAATGAGGGGAAGCAGGTGGGGAAATGAGGAGAATTAGCCTTGGGAAAGGTGGGCAAGAAAGGGGGGGAGAGAGGATGTGGGGGAAAGTTTCGTTTGGTTTCGCTCACAGCCATGGATGGATGGGAAGGGAAGGTCACACGAGGGAATGCAAGGGCAGCAAAGGGAATGTATAACACCTCGCTACCCACTGGGTCAAAACGAGGGTGTTATTTGGCGCAGCGGAATGCCCATTAACACAGCCCACAGGCGTTACACTCGTCCCCCCCTGGTGTCAACGTCCTCGTTGACGAACTTCAGGGAGTCGGCCCCCGCAGGGACCTATTCGCTGTGCTCCAAGCAGCGACTTCGCTGGTGAGGTCAGGCCAGCGGAGGATCGTTCGCTGGGTTCGCGACTGGGATACCACATTCCAGGTCTCGCTCAAAGCGGACAATGTGGACCAGACGGGATTCGAACCCTAGGCTCTGGATACCAGTATAACACCTCGCTACCCACTGGGTCAAAACGAGGGTGTTATTTGGCGCAGCGGAATGCCCATTAACACAGCCCACAGGCGTTACAGAATGCAAGGGCAGCAAAGGGAATGCACGGGATGGGCAGGTTAGTGAAGGGCAGGGAAAAGGGAGGCGCGACGAGGGGAGGGATGACGAGGGGAGCGGAAGCGCGACGAGGGAAGGCATGACACAAGCAGCGCGAGGCGACTTTTGAGACGTCTCACAAGAAGAGCGACGGTCGTGGCGATAGCACCGACACAAGCAGCGCGAGGGGCCTACAACGGCGGCATACGAATGCGATCGATGCGATTGAGGAAGGGGAGGGGGGAGGGGGGAAGAAGGAGCGAACGAGGAAGAGGGTGGGTGCTGTGGTCCAGTTTGGCGGTGACACAGCGAGAGACGCGGATAACACGCCACAATCACGATCAACAACCGTGCCTCCCTGTGAGTGCTGCCTACTATCTATGCTTGCTATTCTTAAGCCATTCGTGCCTCCCAATCACGCTGATGCAGGAATACAGTCACTTTGTCCTTTCGTGTCCCCCCACCCCCGCAGACACAGTATTCCGCCAACCGGTTTCTCGTGGCGAGTGGCAACTTCTTATCCAAAGATGACCGTCGCACTGATAAGGCGCGAATGGAACCGCAGTAGCGTACCGACTACCGACTCCTAGGTCACCTAGTACGGTACTACCTACGACGGCACGATCGACTTATGCAATGCGACTGGCAAACGCTTATCCAAGGTGATCGTTGCTAACGATTATACACCTCGTGGAATCTGGGACACACGAAGGCTGCAACAAGAATACACCACTAATAACGTGCGGTGGTTTGAAAGCCGTCTGGTTTCCCGCGCGTTTCACCCGCTCTGACTGGCACAAACAGCGCATTGCCTTGTAATATGTCGCGCGTCGTGTCAGCTCTGGGCGACGTGAGCAGTACTACCCTTGTACAAGATTACCACTATTTCCGTCAGAACCTGGTTGTTGTTTGGGAAAACATACATAAAATCTGTGACAATAGTCTAGACATCATGTACAATCACAAAAAGGCACTTCAAATTACTTATCAGCGCATTTCCCCCAAACCGAAAAGCACTTAGGGCGTCGCAAATCCGAGGGTCCGGGGTGTGAAGACAGGGGCGTGGAACGTCTGGGGATTTTGTCAAAACGAACCGAACGTTCGGAATTTCACCACTCTGAAACTTACTGTAACTTATATGACCACAGTTCTTACCAGACAACCATTTTTAACCGTTCGGTCCGTGCGGTTCGTTTCGAAGAATTCCTAGATGTTCCACGCCCTAAACAAAAATATCCCTTTGCACCATGTGGAACTGTCGTGAGGTACGACCTAGATTCCCTCGAAACTACAAGCTTTGAAACGACTGCCTGTCAAATGCTTCGAACACTCCCAGTGCTCCTCGTTATCACCAACTGAAGGCGTCGACGTGTCGCGTAGTTCCGCTCTTGAGCAAGCAAGAAAACTATGTCTCAGGGATTAATGATTTACAAATCTGGAGTCTTCACGCCGCGATATGACTTCAAAATGACGCGTTTGCTGTTTAGTGTTAACTTTCTCGAATCCATGGGGACTCTTGAGCTACCGCGTGGAGAAGTCCCACAGCAGCCACATTCTATGGCCTCTGGACAGCCTGAATTGTTGCACAGCAGCCTTGATGATCCGGTCTCAAGTATTTCTGACGACCTTCTAGGAACCATTCTTCTCCTCGTCGCATCTAACGGCAGTAGATTTGACACCCGTGACAGTCTTCTTAACAATGAGACTATTCTGCAAAGCAGTATCGAAGACGCGTTCAACGAGCATCTGCCAGGCGAAAACGTCTTGTTCGGGTTACCCGAACCTCCTGTCGCCACGGCGTCGTCGCTCACCGCCTTTCGCCACGCTCTGGTCTGCAAGCGATGGCTGCGCGTCGCCCGATCCGTGCACCCCGCCATCGTCGTGCCTCGAGATCGCTTTTTCTGCTCAAAAACTCTCGCGTCGCTCCTGGTCTCACCCACCTCGGGATTCCCGAATCTTCGCCATTTGCACCTCGGCGAATTCGCGACGGACGTCGTAAATCGCCACCTCGTGCGATCCATCTGCGACGGATGCGGCTCGTCCTTGACACATCTCACGGTTCATCTGTACGACCGTCAGCCAGTGACGGCCGCGCAGCCGGCCGGCAGTAACCGCGGCCCGGAGCAGCCGGCCAGCCTTGACGCGCCGATTTCGCCGTCAGAAGTCGCCGACATCTTCAATTCCTGCACGCGATTGGTCAATTTGGATGTACGGCTGGGTGAAGCTGCTTCCGAGATCCCACCTTCCATCAGCCGCCTGCAGCAGCTCACGCGCCTCAGCATGAGCTTCAGTAACGTTACCGGGTTACCAGAGGAACTTTTCAACCTGTTGGGCCTGAAGCAGTTACACATCGCATCACAATCTCTTCGCGTGCTGCCCATTTCGATTGGTTGTCTCACCTCCTTGGAGTATTTCGCTCTTCGCAACTGCCCTATCGGCCAACTCCCGAGTGATATACTCCAGCTTCATAACCTTAAGATCCTCACCCTTTCCTATCTGCCAAGCCTTGTTGCACTTCCGGAATCAATCTGTCTTCTTCCAGTGCTCTCCCACATTTCACTAGACCACTGCCCTCAGTTCACCAGTCTACCAGAAAATATTTTCCAGCTGCCCGACCTGCATACCCTGAAACTAGACAGACTGGCTGCTCTCACTGCGCTTCCCGAACCGCTCGGCCAGTTGCTGGCTGACCAACCCTTGGGATCTCCCGTCCTCCGGCATCTCTCCCTCCGCAACTGCCCACTTCTATCCGCTCTGCCCGAAGATATCGGTCAGTTTTCGTCTCTCCAGCAGCTGCACCTGATGCGCCTAGATCAGCTTACTGCTCTTCCGCATTCGCTGGGGTTTCTCTCAGCATTGAAGGAGTTGAAAGTGGTTGAGTGCGGCGAACTTGAGAGCCTCCCCGAGTCCGTATCCGCCATGGAGGCCCTCACGAGCCTCATTCTTGACGGCTGCAATCTTTCAAGCCTGCCCGGAGACATCGGGCAGCTCCACAACTTGGTTGCTGTGAAGCTGTTTTCGAGACGCCTTTCTCATCTGCCAGACTCGTTCGGGCAGCTGGGGCAGCTGAAAGAGCTTACCATTCACAAATGTTACGACCTTTACAGGATCCCTGCCTCATTCGCCAACCTCTCCTCACTGGAAAATTTGATCATCTATGGTGGTTCTTCGCTCACTCACTTGCCTCCGGATTTTGAGAGGCTGCCGAAGCTGTGTAGTCTAGAGCTCCTAAACTGCGCAATCTCGTGCCTGCCCGATAGTTTCGGGGAGCTGCCGAACCTAAAAATCTTCAAACTTCAAACAACCGACGAGTACGAAAGGATCGGGGTTGAGTCTGAACCTGGCATGTTGTCCGCTCATCTGGGTTATCAGAGTGAAGGAGAAGAGTGTCAGCTTGAAGGATTCTGCTCTCTCCGCCGCTTTCCCAAGTCCTTCAGCTTGCTCTCACGCCTAGAACAGCTGATCATAAATGGGTGTGCGATGCTAGTGGAGCTTCCTAGAGGTTTGGGCAATCTGCGCTGCCTCAAGGTCCTGAAAGTGGAGAATTGCGAGCGGCTGAAGTTTTTTCCGTCTCTCTTGCCCTCAGCTGCCGCCGCCGCTGCTGCTGGCCCAGCAGAAGGCAGGCCTTCTGCTCCTGCTGCCACCTCCTCTTCTGCCATACCTGCTCCACTCCCACTCCTTGTGGAGCTGGTAATTTCTTCCTGCCCGATTCTAAGAAACATCCCAGAAGGACTTCATCTGCTGCCCAGCCTGGAGCGTTTCACTCTCGAGCACTGCACCAGTCCAAAGCTTGCCAACCTTTGCACCAAATCAGTTTCTCCTCCCACCTGCTTCTCCTCCTCCTCTGCTTCCCCCGCACTACCACCATCTATCACCCTTCCGCACTCTGTACAGTCGGTAACAATCTCAAATGTCTTCGGGTCAGCTCACCACCTCCCTGAATCCTTTCTTTCCCTCATCCACCTTCGACACTTGAACCTATACAACCTCCGATCCCTCAAGCACCTTAAAGCCCCTGCACCCCTCAAGCAAACGCCAGCCAAAGCCGAAACTGAAGTGGAAATCGTACCTCATGCTCCTTTGGACGATCGTCCTAAAGTGCCCGGGTCTATCGGACAGGCTGGGTTGGGGCATCTGTCGTCGCTGGTGCATCTTCACATTGTCAACTCCAACCTCCCCGCTCTTCCGAAAAACCTAGGCGATCTGAAGGAGCTGAGGGTGCTGCTGCTCGAGAGATGCCAATCCATGACATCGCTTCCCGCCTCCATGACCACCCTTCCCAAACTGCAGCAGATTGATCTCAAGTCCCTTCGTCGGCTATCTCACCTGCCCGAGAATCTCGGGCAGCTGAAGGCACTCAAATACTTGCGTTTGGAGTCATGCAGGTCTCTGGGGAACCTTCCTCCTTCCTTCACTCAGCTTTCCTCTCTGATAGTGCTCAGCATCGTTAACTGTCTTAAAATCACTTGTCTCCCAGGTCCTCTGTCCTCTTTCACGCGCCTCTCCTCTCTAAAACTCAATCGCTTGACAGGGTTACGCCTCCTTCCCTCGCCGTTCTCCCTCCCGTCACTCAAGCAACTGTCGCTCCGCGACTGCAAGCGGCTGAGGGCGTTGCCCTGCGAGTTGGGCAGTTTGTCCTGTCTGAGAGAGGTGGATCTGGACGGGTGTTGGCAGGTGAATCTGCTGCCTCAGTCGCTGGCGGATCGGATGCATGTGATTGAGATGAAGGGCGCCTGGGGAGGTTATTGCTGAGTTTGATACGGGAATGGATGGAATCGAACATTCTCTGGTGTGATTAAAGGGTGCCTGGGGAGGGTACTCCTTAGTTGCTGAGTAGGATAACAGATGCAGGTGAAGGGAGCTGGAATTATATTGCTAGTGTCGTCCATTAAGAGGTGTAGCTCACTTTATTCTGTTAGAATCACCCATTGTAATGAGACCTGTATCTACCATGCCCATGACCCCCCCATAAATCGCATGCGTGTATGCACCTAGAATCTAGATGCCCTGGCCTACTACTATCCTGGCAGCCACAGCGATTCTGTGGTTGAAGTGGAATGACTGTACGAAGTAAAGTTGAAAGTTGGTCAACGGTCATTCAGTGAAACGCGTTGCCTTGTGTGCATTATGACAGCGTCAACTCATCAGAGCAGAACACCTGTTCATTACAACGCAGCAGGAGCATCAGTGCGAGCAAACAGCACGGTGCTTCCATCCCCCATCACATGCACTCTCTTCAGTCCCCACGCTGCAAACGTCTCCTCACATTTCCGCCGCCTCTTTGCCCCGTCCCTCCCCGCCAGCTCAGCATGGAACCTCACCGCCACCTGGCCAATCGGAACGCTCCCAGGCGTGGGCCCCACAGGGGTCTTCTCGGCCAGTGCCGCGGCGCCATGTTGCGTCAGATCGCCCACACTCGTTCCGAATGCATCTCCCCCTCCTAAACCCCCTCCCCCCACTCCTCCCGCTGTTGCTGCAGCAGCATTCTCACACAGATCGAGCTCGAGCCCGGCAATATCCAGCCGTAGGATATCAATCCAACGGTGGGAGTGCATGCACATGAACGTGCGCAGGCGCAGCACTGCCGCCTCCCGAGACTCTTGAGCCGAAGACGCGGAGGAAGCAGCAGAGGATGCAGAGAATGAGGGAGAGGAGGAGGAGGAAGAGGAGGAGGGAGAGGGTATGGGGTGGAAGAGGGCAACACCGTCACGGGGACCGAGGGCAAAGGGGCGGAACTGGGGGGAGCGGCGGGGGGAGAGGCCCTTGATGGGCTGCAGCATGGAGGCGAAGGTGGTGTCGTTGATGAATGGGTCAAACACAAACACCTGGAAGAGGGAAAGGGTTGAGTTGGTGGGGTGTGGAAGAAAGGGAAAGAACAGCAGTTGCATGGTTCGAGCATGAAGGCGGTGTCGTTGACAAAGGGGTCAAACACAAACACCTGCGAGAGGGGGAGGTGGTGGGGGAGAGAGGGGGGTGGGCGGGTGAATAAGGTGTGTGTGGAAGAAGGGGAATGAGCAGCAATTAAAAGGCTGCAGCACGAAGGAGAAGGTGGAGTCGTTGACAACGACTGCGTCTGACGGTGGGATGAACAAAAACACCTGCGAGAGGGGGGGGAAAGGTGAATTGGTGGGGTGTGGTATGGAAGGCGGAAGAGGAGAAGCGTCTGGCAAATGAATGGCTGCAGCAGCAGGGAGGAGAAGGTGGTGTTGCCAACAAAGGAACAAACACCTGGAAGAGGGGGGGGTGGGGGGTGTGGAAGGAAGGAAATGAACAGCAATTACATAAACGCAGCAAGGAGGAGAAGGTGGTGTCATTGACAAAGGGGTTGAACACAGACACTTGCAAGAGGGGGGGTGGGCGGGAGTGGAAATGAATAGACGACTCTTCTTGGCCGCAAGTGATCCAATCATATCACGCAATACTCAATCCCATCTTAAGCAACCCCTGCCTCACCTGCTGTCCTCTCAAAGTCATTTCGCCTTCAAACAGAAGGTTCGGGCCCACACCAAGCGAGTACACGACCCCTCTCGGCCGCAGGTGGTCAGAACACACAGGCCACACGACTCCCTCGCCTTTTCACACAGCCCCCATCTCACCTGCTGGCCTCTCAAAGTCATCTCTCCCTCAAACAAGAGGTTCGGGCCGACACCAAACGAGTACACGACCCCTCTTGGCCGCAGGTGGTCAGAACACACAGGCCACACGACTCCCTCGCCTTTTCACACAGCCCCCATCTCACCTGCTGGCCTCTCAAAGTCATCTCTCCCTCAAACAAGAGGTTCGGGCCGACACCAAACGAGTACACGACCCCTCTTGGCCGCAGGTGGTCAGAACACACAGGCCACACGATTCCCTCGCCTTTTTCTTTCGCCTGCCCGGGCTGCCCGCCGATGTATTCCAGCTTGCAGGAGGGGAAACGGCGGCGCAGAAAAAACTCGACGTCCTCTGCTGTTGTGACTCCGCTCTTCTTTTTCTTCTGCCCGGCGGGGTCTGAAAGGAGGTGTCTGGCGGGCAGGTGGAGGTGAGAGCGAGTGGGAGAGGGGTAGGGAGTGGAGGGAATGAAGGGATGGAGTAGGGATTGGGAGCGGGCGGGGTAGAAATTTGCCGCGGGAAGATGGAGTGAGGGGAAGGCAGGAGGGTGAAGAACGGCAGGGGAAGGGCAGGGGGGAAGGTGAGGGGAGGGCAGAGGGGAAGGTGAGGGGAGGGCAGGGGGAAGGTGAGTGAGCGGGGGGCGTGACGTGGGGACAGCGCGGAATGGCGGAGTGTAACTTCTGGCATTGCGTGCTGAGACGATAATTAACTTGAGTGGTTTAACGACTTAAGAACGCGCACAACCTTCTACACCTATTTCCCCCTTCTAAGCCTTCCCTCCCATCCCAACCTTCCCCACCTTCCCCCCCTTCCCCACCTTCCTCGCGTCTCCATCGCTTCGCTCCGCTCATCGCTTCGCTTCGATCCATCGTCGTTTCCCCCCATCTCCCCCCTCATCTCATTCCCTGATTGCTCCGCCGCGGGAACCGGCTCGGCGCGCTCTAGCCATTCGCGCTGCTGCTGCGGCGGCTGGGGGCGATGGTGCTGGTGCTGCTGGTGACCGTCGGATGAGGAGAGAATGGACGGCGGATACACGATTAGCGTGCGGAGCGAGTAGGCTTGCACGGCGACGAAGAGAACCAGCAGCACGTGCCACGGGAGAATCGCCGGGATCGCACTTTCTAATTTCGCCGGGATCGCATGATCTAATTTCGCCGGGATCGCACTATCTAATTTCGCCGGGATCGCATGATCTAATTTCGCCGGGATCGCACTATCTAATTTCGCCGGGATCGCACGATCTGATTTCGCCGGCTGGTTACCCGCTGCGCCTCGGTGATCCGTTTTCGTCGGCCCATGATTCCTGAACGAATGCATGGTCACAGAGTGAGATTAAGAGGAATGAATCTCACTATCTCATTGACCGCCTTGCGAAGTCTCTAGTATCTCTATATTTGCTTGTCTACTTTTCGTGGTTTTTACTCGTAGTATAGCAGAGTTACTGTGGGACGTGGCCAATGAGCGTTTCTGGAGATACCACGTCCTAAAAATACTGCGCCCATGAAAGAGCCATAAAATCTTGGAGCGCTCAAGTGGTTTACTTAGCACATGTGACGATTATTTCTGGGATTGAACAAGATGCCCCCACCCCATGAGTAAAAGCCGTTGGATACGTATTGAAATGCTTCATCGCTTTGAACCGCTACTCACCAGACTAGAAACTATCGATACACCAGCAAACGCGGCCTTGCGAACCACCCACCACCAACTTCCAGCCTCTTCCCCGCTGTAGATAGTTTCCACTTTCGATGAGAGACCGTTATCAGAAACATACATGTACTACAGTGAACTTGCTATAATGGTGGTACTGTATCCACGTTTGGTAGTTGTTTCTCAAGCTTTCAATCGGACATGGCCACAAATTTGTTACGTAAATTATTGCAGTATCTTCGAAGAATCACTCACAAAAGTTCACAAGCCATTGAACATATATCATACATGAAGTACTTGCAGGAAAACATGCCCATGAGAGGCAGACCAAGTGTTAAAACTCAGCGTGAGAGAAGAGAAGATGCATATACACACAGATGATGAGAACGTCCTGCAAACCCACCTTCTGAATGGCAAGGATACACCGCTACCTAGCAGCACGCTCTAGCACGGTGACATCCCACAGTCCATTACGAAGAGTAGTAGACAGATGCTGGATGGGAGATGAGGTGGCGGCAGATGAAGCTGCAGTGGCTGTGGCAAGAGCAGGAGCGGAGTCTGAATCCTCAATGTGTTTGAGGCGACTCAAAACACACCAAGAGTAGTAAACCGTTGCTGCAGGGGAAACGGCCAGGCAGGCAGATCAAGCTGCAGTGGCTGTGGCAAGAGCAGGAGCTGCATCTGATTCCTCATGTGTTTGAGTCAACTCAAAACACACCAGGAGTAGTAGTGGACCAATGCTAGACAGGAGACAACCCGGCAGATCAAGCTGCAGTGGCTGTGGCAAGAGCAGGAGCTGCATCCGATTCCTCATCACTTCCACCTCCCCCAGATGAACCTCCCTTGCTTCCCCCACCCTGACCCTCCTCTCCCTTGCCTCCTGCCTTCTCTCCTCCACCCTCGTTCTCCTGCAACCACCGCTCCCACGCCCCCTCCCCTTGCAGAATGTGGGCCCCACACCCTGGTACACCGTCGTCCCCTTCCTCCCCCTCGTGCCCCACTGACGCCTCGTCCAGCACCACTGCTTCCACTAGACTGCTGGGGACCTGGTGAAATGGAGATCAAGGATGGGAGGGGAGGGATGCGAGGGATGGATGTATGAAGGCAGGGTGCAGGTTCCCTCCTCCACTCCCTCCTCCCCCTCTTGCACCACTGATGCCTCGTCCAGCATCACTACCTCCACTAGACTGCTGGAAACCTGGTGGGGATGGCAGGGATGGCAGACCAGGCATGGGAGGGCAGAGATGGCAGGGATGGGTGGATGAAAGAAGGGAGCAGGTTATTCTACCCACTCCTCCTCCCCCTCCTTCCCCTCCCCCTCCTTGTGCTCCGCTAAACACACCTTATCCAGCACCACTGCCTCCACCAGACTGCTGGGGACCTGGTGGGGATGGCAGGGATGGATGGAGGATAACAGAGCGCAGGTTATTCGCCACGCCTTGCCCTCCTCGCCCTCCTCCCCCTCGTGCCCCGCTGATGCTTCATCCAACGCCACTTCTTTTACCAGAGAGTTGAGGACTGGTGGGATGGGGTGTGAAGTGGAATGGCAGGGATGGATGGAGGAAAGAAGGGAGCAGGTTATTCCCCCACTCCCCCTCCTCTCCCTTGTTTCCCACCGATGATTCATCCAGCACCACTGCTTCAACTCCTTTGTACATAGCCTTGTAACTGCCATCGTACCACTCATACATAGCCTCGGTAAGAACCACACCTCATAATAGCCTGGATAACCGCCTTACCTCATACACAGCATCGGCAATCACCGTACCTCGTACATAGCCTCGGTAAGCAGCCCCTCCAGCAGCGATCGCAACCCCCTGGCCCCCGTGTTGCGCGCTGCTGCCCTGCGCGCTATGGCCCTCACTGCGCCCTCCGTCATGTGCAGACGGGCCTGAGTTGGTAAGGGGAAATAAACGGGAAAAGAGGGGAGAACACTAGAAGAATGAAGAATGTAGCATGCATGCTGCCCTGCGCGCTATGGCCCTCACTGCGCCCTCAGTCATGTGCAAGCGCGCCTGAGTAATTGGAGGGGAGGATTGGGAGGGCATGAGGAGAAGGACGAAGGCAGGACTGACAGCTCTTCTGTGACCTGACCAGTTCTGACCAGTAGCTTTGCAAACTGCTTGCTAACAGAGGCTTGTGATAGTCACCTCATGACCCACAAGCAGCAGCGCACACCGCACTCACATTGTTCATGGCCAGTAGCTTTGCGAACTGCTTGCTGAGGGCATTCTTGGGCTTTAAGAGAACCTGCAAGTGAGAGCCAGAGACCAGGTACGAGGAAGGTGCAGGAGAGTGGGGAAGTGGAAGGGGTATTGGGTAGGGTTTCAGGGTTCAGAAAAAAACAGTTTTTTGGGCAGGAGAACAGGAAAAGAAGACAAAAGACGTGATGTCATGTTAACTCATGCATGGAAAGCCACTCGGCTCTTTATGTGAAATTAAATGGAGGTCCATGCGATCAATCGATTTCTACCAGCACTGCTTGCCACCTGCACCAGTTGCCACCTGCACCAGTTGCCACCTGCACCAGTTGCCACCTGCACCAGTTGCCACCCGCAGCATTTGTCGCCTGCACTGGTTGGTCCTCTGCGAGCCCACGCAGCCCCACGAGCACCGGTGGTCACTTAAATCTACCAACACCAGTTGCAACCCAGTTGCTACTGCAAGGCACCAGCCTATCTGCAGCCACTTGCAACACTTGCTACCTGGTTGCTACCTAGATGTACCTTCACGACCTGTCTGTGAGCACATGCAGCCCCACGAGCACCAGTTCCTGCCTGCACCAGTTGCTACCTGCACCCACCCGCACTGCACCTACCTGCACGAGCTGCTCCTCTGTGAGCGCATGCAGCCCCACCAGCACCAGTTGTTACCTGGTTCTTACCTGCACCTACTAGCACCTACCACCACTCGTCACCTGACTGCACCCACCTGCACCAGTTGCTCCTCTGTGAGCGCATGTAGCCCCATGAGCACCCGTTCCTGCCTGCACCAGTAGCTATCTGCACCTGCACTGCACCTGCCTGTACCTGTTCCTACCTGCACGAGCTGCTCCTCTGTGAGCGCATGTAGCCCCACCAGCACCGGGAATCGACCCACAAACTCGGGAATGAGCCCGTAGGCTATCAGATCCGTGCTCTCCGCCTGGCATTTGGCGCACATGGGGGGGAAGGCAAGAATGGCAGGTGGAAGGTGGAGTGGGCAGGGGGTAGGACCGGAAGGGTGTATGCTTTAGAGGTGCAAAGAAAACAGCACCGAAAATCGACCCACAAACTCGGGAATGAGCCCGTAGGCTATCAAATCTGTGCTCTCTGCCTGCCGTTTGGGGGGTGTAGGGAGGGGTGGGAATGTGTGGGGACGGGTGGGGAGGGCTTTAACATTAGCACAACAAGGTGCCCCACAAAATCGGGAATGTGCATTAAAGAACGTAGGCTATACAACTGACAAACAGTTGGGGGGGAAGGAGCGAGTGTGTTGAGGCGGGGGAGGGAGAATGAAAGAAGGAAGAGCAGAAAAGAATGACGAGCAGCAGCGAACATGCAAAAGGGAAGAGCATGACAGAGAGACGAGCGTGACAGAGAGCGAGCTTGACAGAGAGACGAGCGTGACAGAGAGACGAGCGTGAGAACTTACCGATTGCAGAAGCGAGCCAGCAGTGCGGGCGTCAAGCACCGATCGGTTGCGTAGCGATGCTCGCACAGGTGCTCCGAAGCCGATCGACGACTTGCGTTTTCTGCGGCAAGGTAATAGTGGGATTTGAGACATGCAGTACAGTCAGATTATGTGGTGCTTGAAATGCTTGCTTGCAGTGATGCTTGCACGGGTGCTCCAAAGCCAATGCATGACTTGCGCGTCCTGATTTTGAGGCGCCTCAAAAATCAATGCATGACTTGCGCGTCCTGCAAGTGGCACATGATATGGCATCGCATAGCATGGTATGGGGCACATATACTGCCTTGGTGACGCACGGATTCAACATCACGTGCACTTTCACTGGCGCGCGCGCGGGTGCTCTGAAGCCAATCAATGACTGAGCTTCCTGCAAGTGGCACAGCAAGTGTTGGTGGCACACACTTCTGCTCTGGAGCCACTGCTGCTTACTTTCGTCTCACCACCGGGGCACCACCGCTCACTTCCTCTCTGCTATCGTCTTCCGCAATGAGTCAACTCAATTCAGCTCAGTCAACTCAATTCAGCTCAGTCCCCTCAATTCAGCTCAGTCCCCTCAATTCAGCTCAGTCAACTCAATTCAGCTCAGTCCCCTCAATTCAGCTCAGTCAACTCAATTCAGCTCAGTCCCCTCAATTCAGCTCAGTCAACTCAATTCAGCTCAGTCCCCTCAATTCAGCTCAGTCAACTCAATTCAGCTCAGTCCCCTCAATTCAGCTCAGTCAACTCAATTCAGCTCAGTCCCCTCAATTCAGCTCAGTCAACTCAATTCAGCTCAGTCCCCTCAATTCAGCTCAGTCAACTCAATTCAGCTCAGTCCCCTCAATTCAGCTCAGTCAACTCAATTCAGCTCAGTCCCCTCAATTCAGCTCAGTCAACTCAATTCAGCTCAGTCCCCTCAATTCAGCTCAGTCAACTCAATTCAGCTCAGTCCCCTCAATTCAGCTCAGTCAACTCAATTCAGCTCAGTCCCCTCAATTCAGCTCAGTCAACTCAATTCAGCTCAGTCCCCTCAATTCAGCTCAACTCACTCCCTCAACTCAATCCAACTCAGTCCCAGCTCAACTAAGCTGAACTCAACTCTCCGCATTTGTGTCAATGAATAAAACCTCCACGTTGCCTTCGTGCTTTTCATACTTTCACCTCTCCGCTAACATTCCTCTCACCTCTCTGCTATCGTCTTCTCAAGATCCACGAATGCTCCTCCACAGATGAAGAGAATGTTCTGCGTGTCCAGCTGGTGGGGTGGGTGGGGCAAAGCAACGGGGCAGTATGGGGTATGGGCCATTGGGAATGTGGGAGGGGGCATGAGACATGCAGGCTGATGGTTAATTCTTTGCTATTGTCTTCTCAAGATCCACAGATGAAGAGAATGTTATGTGTGTCTAGCTGGTGGGGTGGGTGGGGCAAAGCAAGTGTAGGGAAGGGGGAATCGCAGGCAGAAGCGGTGGAGGGATGAGAGAATGTTCTATGTGTCTAGCTGGTGAGGAGGATGGGGCAGTAGGGAAGGGGGAATCGCAGGCAGAAGCGGTGGAGGGATGAGAGAATGTTCTATGTGTCTAGCTGGTGAGGAGGATGGGGCAGTAGGGAAGGGGGAATCGCAGGCAGAAGCGGTGGAGGGATGAGAGAATGTTCTATGTGTCTAGCTGGTGAGGAGGATGGGGCAGTAGGGAAGGGGGAATCGCAGGCAGAAGCGGTGGAGGGATGAGAGAATGTTCTATGTGTCTAGCTGGTGAGGAGGATGGGGCAGTAGGGAAGGGGGAATCGCAGGCAGAAGCGGTGGAGGGATGAGAGAATGTTCTATGTGTCTAGCTGGTGAGGAGGATGGGGCAGTAGGGAAGGGGGAATCGCAGGCAGAAGCGGTGGAGGGATGAGAGAATGTTCTATGTGTCTAGCTGGTGAGGAGGATGGGGCAGTAGGGAAGGGGGAATCGCAGGCAGAAGCGGTGGAGGGATGAGAGAATGTTCTATGTGTCTAGCTGGTGAGGAGGATGGGGCAGTAGGGAAGGGGGAATCGCAGGCAGAAGCGGTGGAGGGATGAGAGAATGTTCTATGTGTCTAGCTGGTGAGGAGGATGGGGCAGTAGGGAAGGGGGAATCGCAGGCAGAAGCGGTGGAGGGATGAGAGAATGTTCTATGTGTCTAGCTGGTGAGGAGGATGGGGCAGTAGGGAAGGGGGAATCGCAGGCAGAAGCGGTGGAGGGATGAGAGAATGTTCTATGTGTCTAGCTGGTGAGGAGGATGGGGCAGTAGGGAAGGGGGAATCGCAGGCAGAAGCGGTGGAGGGATGAGAGAATGTTCTATGTGTCTAGCTGGTGAGGAGGATGGGGCAGTAGGGAAGGGGGAATCGCAGGCAGAAGCGGTGGAGGGATGAGAGAATGTTCTATGTGTCTAGCTGGTGAGGAGGATGGGGCAGTAGGGAAGGGGGAATCGCAGGCAGAAGCGGTGGAGGGATGAGAGAATGTTCTATGTGTCTAGCTGGTGAGGAGGATGGGGCAGTAGGGAAGGGGGAATCGCAGGCAGAAGCGGTGGAGGGATGAGAGAATGTTCTATGTGTCTAGCTGGTGAGGAGGATGGGGCAGTAGGGAAGGGGGAATCGCAGGCAGAAGCGGTGGAGGGATGAGAGAATGTTCTATGTGTCTAGCTGGTGAGGAGGATGGGGCAGTAGGGAAGGGGGAATCGCAGGCAGAAGCGGTGGAGGGATGAGAGAATGTTCTATGTGTCTAGCTGGTGAGGAGGATGGGGCAGTAGGGAAGGGGGAATCGCAGGCAGAAGCGGTGGAGGGATGAGAGAATGTTCTATGTGTCTAGCTGGTGAGGAGGATGGGGCAGTAGGGAAGGGGGAATCGCAGGCAGAAGCGGTGGAGGGATGAGAGAATGTTCTATGTGTCTAGCTGGTGAGGAGGATGGGGCAGTAGGGAAGGGGGAATCGCAGGCAGAAGCGGTGGAGGGATGAGAGAATGTTCTATGTGTCTAGCTGGTGAGGAGGATGGGGCAGTAGGGAAGGGGGAATCGCAGGCAGAAGCGGTGGAGGGATGAGAGAATGTTCTATGTGTCTAGCTGGTGAGGAGGATGGGGCAGTAGGGAAGGGGGAATCGCAGGCAGAAGCGGTGGAGGGATGAGAGAATGTTCTATGTGTCTAGCTGGTGAGGAGGATGGGGCAGTAGGGAAGGGGGAATCGCAGGCAGAAGCGGTGGAGGGATGAGAGAATGTTCTATGTGTCTAGCTGGTGAGGAGGATGGGGCAGTAGGGAAGGGGGAATCGCAGGCAGAAGCGGTGGAGGGATGAGAGAATGTTCTATGTGTCTAGCTGGTGAGGAGGATGGGGCAGTAGGGAAGGGGGAATCGCAGGCAGAAGCGGTGGAGGGATGAGAGAATGTTCTATGTGTCTAGCTGGTGAGGAGGATGGGGCAGTAGGGAAGGGGGAATCGCAGGCAGAAGCGGTGGAGGGATGAGAGAATGTTCTATGTGTCTAGCTGGTGAGGAGGATGGGGCAGTAGGGAAGGGGGAATCGCAGGCAGAAGCGGTGGAGGGATGAGAGAATGTTCTATGTGTCTAGCTGGTGAGGAGGATGGGGCAGTAGGGAAGGGGGAATCGCAGGCAGAAGCGGTGGAGGGATGAGAGAATGTTCTATGTGTCTAGCTGGTGAGGAGGATGGGGCAGTAGGGAAGGGGGAATCGCAGGCAGAAGCGGTGGAGGGATGAGAGAATGTTCTATGTGTCTAGCTGGTGAGGAGGATGGGGCAGTAGGGAAGGGGGAATCGCAGGCAGAAGCGGTGGAGGGATGAGAGAATGTTCTATGTGTCTAGCTGGTGAGGAGGATGGGGCAGTAGGGAAGGGGGAATCGCAGGCAGAAGCGGTGGAGGGATGAGAGAATGTTCTATGTGTCTAGCTGGTGAGGAGGATGGGGCAGTAGGGAAGGGGGAATCGCAGGCAGAAGCGGTGGAGGGATGAGAGAATGTTCTATGTGTCTAGCTGGTGAGGAGGATGGGGCAGTAGGGAAGGGGGAATCGCAGGCAGAAGCGGTGGAGGGATGAGAGAATGTTCTATGTGTCTAGCTGGTGAGGAGGATGGGGCAGTAGGGAAGGGGGAATCGCAGGCAGAAGCGGTGGAGGGATGAGAGAATGTTCTATGTGTCTAGCTGGTGAGGAGGATGGGGCAGTAGGGAAGGGGGAATCGCAGGCAGAAGCGGTGGAGGGATGAGAGAATGTTCTATGTGTCTAGCTGGTGAGGAGGATGGGGCAGTAGGGAAGGGGGAATCGCAGGCAGAAGCGGTGGAGGGATGAGAGAATGTTCTATGTGTCTAGCTGGTGAGGAGGATGGGGCAGTAGGGAAGGGGGAATCGCAGGCAGAAGCGGTGGAGGGATGAGAGAATGTTCTATGTGTCTAGCTGGTGAGGAGGATGGGGCAGTAGGGAAGGGGGAATCGCAGGCAGAAGCGGTGGAGGGATGAGAGAATGTTCTATGTGTCTAGCTGGTGAGGAGGATGGGGCAGTAGGGAAGGGGGAATCGCAGGCAGAAGCGGTGGAGGGATGAGAGAATGTTCTATGTGTCTAGCTGGTGAGGAGGATGGGGCAGTAGGGAAGGGGGAATCGCAGGCAGAAGCGGTGGAGGGATGAGAGAATGTTCTATGTGTCTAGCTGGTGAGGAGGATGGGGCAGTAGGGAAGGGGGAATCGCAGGCAGAAGCGGTGGAGGGATGAGAGAATGTTCTATGTGTCTAGCTGGTGAGGAGGATGGGGCAGTAGGGAAGGGGGAATCGCAGGCAGAAGCGGTGGAGGGATGAGAGAATGTTCTATGTGTCTAGCTGGTGAGGAGGATGGGGCAGTAGGGAAGGGGGAATCGCAGGCAGAAGCGGTGGAGGGATGAGAGAATGTTCTATGTGTCTAGCTGGTGAGGAGGATGGGGCAGTAGGGAAGGGGGAATCGCAGGCAGAAGCGGTGGAGGGATGAGAGAATGTTCTATGTGTCTAGCTGGTGAGGAGGATGGGGCAGTAGGGAAGGGGGAATCGCAGGCAGAAGCGGTGGAGGGATGAGAGAATGTTCTATGTGTCTAGCTGGTGAGGAGGATGGGGCAGTAGGGAAGGGGGAATCGCAGGCAGAAGCGGTGGAGGGATGAGAGAATGTTCTATGTGTCTAGCTGGTGAGGAGGATGGGGCAGTAGGGAAGGGGGAATCGCAGGCAGAAGCGGTGGAGGGATGAGAGAATGTTCTATGTGTCTAGCTGGTGAGGAGGATGGGGCAGTAGGGAAGGGGGAATCGCAGGCAGAAGCGGTGGAGGGATGAGAGAATGTTCTATGTGTCTAGCTGGTGAGGAGGATGGGGCAGTAGGGAAGGGGGAATCGCAGGCAGAAGCGGTGGAGGGATGAGAGAATGTTCTATGTGTCTAGCTGGTGAGGAGGATGGGGCAGTAGGGAAGGGGGAATCGCAGGCAGAAGCGGTGGAGGGATGAGAGAATGTTCTATGTGTCTAGCTGGTGAGGAGGATGGGGCAGTAGGGAAGGGGGAATCGCAGGCAGAAGCGGTGGAGGGATGAGAGAATGTTCTATGTGTCTAGCTGGTGAGGAGGATGGGGCAGTAGGGAAGGGGGAATCGCAGGCAGAAGCGGTGGAGGGATGAGAGAATGTTCTATGTGTCTAGCTGGTGAGGAGGATGGGGCAGTAGGGAAGGGGGAATCGCAGGCAGAAGCGGTGGAGGGATGAGAGAATGTTCTATGTGTCTAGCTGGTGAGGAGGATGGGGCAGTAGGGAAGGGGGAATCGCAGGCAGAAGCGGTGGAGGGATGAGAGAATGTTCTATGTGTCTAGCTGGTGAGGAGGATGGGGCAGTAGGGAAGGGGGAATCGCAGGCAGAAGCGGTGGAGGGATGAGAGAATGTTCTATGTGTCTAGCTGGTGAGGAGGATGGGGCAGTAGGGAAGGGGGAATCGCAGGCAGAAGCGGTGGAGGGATGAGAGAATGTTCTATGTGTCTAGCTGGTGAGGAGGATGGGGCAGTAGGGAAGGGGGAATCGCAGGCAGAAGCGGTGGAGGGATGAGAGAATGTTCTATGTGTCTAGCTGGTGAGGAGGATGGGGCAGTAGGGAAGGGGGAATCGCAGGCAGAAGCGGTGGAGGGATGAGAGAATGTTCTATGTGTCTAGCTGGTGAGGAGGATGGGGCAGTAGGGAAGGGGGAATCGCAGGCAGAAGCGGTGGAGGGATGAGAGAATGTTCTATGTGTCTAGCTGGTGAGGAGGATGGGGCAGTAGGG